ACCCAGTGACGATATATTTTTAACTCTACTAGCTAAAGTGTTAACGGTCCATCAGGCAGTTGAGATTGTGAAATTAAATATGCTTCATCTGTTCATGCAGATAGTTGCTGTCATTCCTTATAGATTTATAATATATTTAACTTTAGCTTAATTTTGTATACCTTGTTTGCAGTTTTTTCTCCCTCAATGCAGACTTATTTACACCAAAAACCAGCTCTTCAAGCTTAAGCCGGCAAACATGGCGATTTTGTTATATTGTACGGCTGATATCACCCAACACTTTGTTGTTATTTCCTTAAACTGGTTTATGCAGCATTCACAGCACCTGCAACATGCTGCCACTCTTTGTGATGCCCACAATGTGTCCACCAAACGATATTATGACCTTGTCTCCACTGTCCCAACAAATACTAAGATGTTACTCTCTGAAATGTCTTTTGTTAGCCATTGTGTAACTAATTTTCTAATTGACCTGTACAGACATACCAATTTAAAAAGGCCTAATCCTATTTTGGTGGAATTAATAATTTGATCAATCCAATTTCTAATTTATTTCTATTTGTACTTGTTTTTATGTCTTAAGAATATTATATGTTGCCTTGTTGGAGGAGCCTGAGACTTCACATTTTCATTGTCAACAAATACACTGAAGCTATCATGCAACTGAATTCTGAAGTCTGGTTTGCAGTGATGCTGATTGATTATAACACTTTAGATGGGCCCATCTTTTGTAACTGTAGTGAAGTGGACCAGGGGCGGACTGGCCATTGGGAATACCGGGAGTTTTCCCGGTGGGCCGTTGCTGTGCGTGGGCCGGATGGCTAAAAAAATTAATTAAAAAAATACATTTAATTTCTTTGCCTAAATCCTACCGACCCACATTTGTAAGTGTTCCGGCCACTCCCTTTTTTATTTATTTTTGCTTACCTAAATCCTACCGGCCAGGGGCGGACTGGCCATTGGGCAGGTGAGGTCCACCACCTGCCCACACCCACTGTCAAATTGTCTCACCCACATTGAGGATGCTTCCTACGCCCATGTTTTATTCCATGCGTCAAGTCAGGCAAATTGGGTCAAAATGTTATTGCATCAATGATCTGTTAACATTAAAATCAATAAATATATGCTGTAACTATTTTGCTCTATAGGCAACTCAAGGGCTCAGGTAATGTGATTACTATATGAATAATGGTCCAAAATAACATAAAATGCATAGGGTTTTTTGTTAAGTAACATGCTTTCGTCGCCGGCCGGCCGATACATGCCGCGCATTAAGTGGGCCTGTCTGTCACTTTTTCCCCCCAGTCCGCCCCTGAAGTGGACCCTTGTTTCAGTGAAAGTATACTGTGTAGAGCTCAGTGTTTCCCGAATCCCACTTAAAGGCTTACCTTGTTGGGCCACCCAGGTACACTTACAGCAGCCCCAGTATGTCACTTACAGCAGCCCAGTATGTCACTTACAGCAGCCCCAGTATGTCACTTACAGCAGCCCAAGTATGTTTGCGACTCCATTCAGGTATCATATTTCATTTGAGTGCTGATTTAGTGCCCCCCCCCACACACACACACACACACTCACAAACTCGCTTCCTGCAACACCGTAGCTGCAACTACATAACGTTTCTTAGACTTATGCCAGACATTGTAGTCTCTGTGGCGCAATTGGTTAGCGCGTTCGGCTGTTAACCGAAAGGTTGGTGGTTCAAGTCCACCCAGTGACGGTATATTTTTAACTCTACTAGCTAAAGAGTGAAGTGTTAACGATCCATCGGGCAGTTGAGATTGTGAAATTAAATATGCTTCATCTGTTCATGCAGATAGTTGCTGTCATTCCTTATAGATTTGTATTATATTAATTTTGTATACCTTATTTGCAGTTTTTTCTCCCTCAATGCAGACTTATTTACACCAAAAACCCGCTCTTCAAGCTTAAGCCGGCAAACATGGCGATTTTGTTATATTGTACGGCTGATATCACCCAACACTTTGTTGTTATTTCCTTAAACTGGTTTATGCAGCATTCACAGAACCTGCAACATGCTGCCACTCTTTGTGATGCCCACAATGTGTCCACCAAACGACATTATGAAGTACTAACATTTTGTATTGCAAAGATCTTGCTTAACATGCAAAAAAGCATGTTAAGCAAGATCTTAAAAAAGGTTGTGCTAGGCTAAAGCTAGCTATTAGCTCTGCTGCTATTGTTATCATAGACTGTATATAAGTTGTTATTATATTGTTATGCACAATGCACTGCATATCTGCCGTTTCTTTACCTTAGCGTAGCACCGTGTTGACGCAGGATCTGCTGCCCAATCTCCAATCTATCATCCAATCATGATACTCGCTGTCCATTGTGAAGATTGGACCTAAACCAATCACGCCGCGAGTTCACAATGGACGGAGCCAATCAAGTCATGGCATCACAATGGACAGAGCCAGAGCCCTAGGCTGCTTCTCAGGTCGATTAAATGAAATCCTTGCTTCCCTCACTTGCGTCGTTTCCCTGCGTCTAGTCCCTCCCACCAGGGAAGCATGGAGGGACGCAAGGAAACCACGAGAAGCAGGGAAATGAGTTTTAAGAGCAATGGGACGTCCTTTCCTCCGGAGCGTCACGTGAAGCGACGTCCGTTTGTGATGACGCTGCACAGCTGATCGTCTGACAGCAGCTCTGTCCACGTTGTTTCCACACACCCCCCCGCCTCTGTTAGTACACATTTACTAACACAAACATTTGTATCATCTGTTGTAGACCCAAATACATTAAATCAAATAAGATCTCATTCTCAAAAAAGATAAACGCCATTCTTAAAATTTATAAACGAACAATAGTTTGATTAATATTGATTAGAGTGCACAATAGAAATAAAATAATTGAGAGAAGAAAAAGAGATATGTTATCTATCAAAACCCAGTTAGATTAACAGTCATTGGATTGCACACTTTGTTTGTTTGTTTGGATATGCAGCACATTAACATTTAAATAGCACTTAATGACTGACTGAATGGAAATGACAATAAATGAAAATGTAAAACGAAAAAAGCGATCATGAACATTTTTCCAAAAAATGAATTAAATGATTTTTGCCCACTGTGTTGTTCAGATATATCACATATTTGTAACTAAATGATACATGAATTGAAACAAAACACGGTATAAACTGAGGAGTGACTCCCGTGAGGTTCATGTATTTTCTTCACTCTGCTCTCATGTCAAGAAGCATCAGATCAGTGCATGCACTGCCTCGTCCAATCAGTGAGCGATACACAGTAAGGGGGCGGGGCGAGTATCTGAGGATTCCATCGGAGGATGGTCTGGTGGTTCCTCGGTTATCGCTCCTCCATGATCGCTCCTCGCTCCTCGATCCTCGGTCCTCCGGCAGAAATAAGAGCCATGGGACGGTACTCAAGATGGCGCAGGCAAATCAACTTCCGGTGAGACCGAGGACCGAGGAGCGAGGAAATGAAAATAGTCGACCTGAGAAGCAGCCCTAGAGAGATAAGAGTAACGACACTCTTTGATGTCGCCGCCAGCCGGTCACGTGGTTTATGTATGCCGGTGTTATGCCGTAGGTTGAAGCCTTGCCGTGGATTGAAGCCCTGTTCGCGGGGACGCGCAAAGGTGACGTCATCGCCTGTATTGAGCGTTTGCCGTTTTCAAAGCTTTTCTCTCTCTTGAATTATATCAGATTAAACAGCAAACGGCTGAATAAATAATGTGCATACAATTGCGAGGAGGCTCGTTTTAAGGCCACGTTTTTCAGATCTGTCACAATATTCGTATTGGAATAAATTTACGTTTTTGAGTGTATAGTCCCACTGTGTTATATTCCTCCTTCCTACAGAACAGACAATGACAGGATAATATGTGATTTGTCAGTATAGTCCTATTTCTTAAAACCTTCTCTGTTGTTTAAGTGTCTGATAACCACGAATAGTAAGCAATTATATGATCATGTCAGACACTGTGTTATTTTCAATCAAGCCTAAAAGATAATGTGTTCAAACCGGCTTCACTCACTTGAATTGCTCCTTTGAATATCATTTTTATATATTCCTACTCAACACATGTTTGTATTGTAATGCCACTCATATTTTTTTAAAATTGTATTTTAAAGTGACATTGAATGCTTTGAAAGGTGCCCTAAAATAAAGTGTATTATTGATCTTATATCTGTGCCTCTATTACATTACATTTCATTTTCTATCACACTATTAATGTTCCTTATTTTAGACTAGGTTAATCCTGGTGTCAATAGGGAAGATCTGCACTGTTCTCTACATAACATGTTCAGAGCAGGTATTTCTCCTGCCGGATTTGGAACCCCCCCTATATCTTTCTCCAGGATAGTCACAACTTCACCAAAAATCATACTGGTGCTGGCTGTTCCCCTCTAGTTTGTGCTCACAAAAGCATTTTACTCTGGGCCTAGCAGGTACAAAACTAAAGAGGGGCTTCCAAATCCGGCAGCACCAACATCTGATCTACGGCAAGGCTTCAATCTACGGCACAACACCGGGATAGTTCCAAACGCACTTCCGTGTCAATGCTTCTCTATGGCAAATACAGCACAAACATGGTCAAAATAGTCATAGATTAAACCAACGCTGTTATTTTTTAAAGATTGCTTTCATATTTACATGATGTGGTTACACTTTGTATGGATTGGTACTATTTACAAGTTTCGTTATTTAACGATATTTTGAGGGGAAAGTGTGGTAGCACAAGCAGGCTATGTTGCTGTCACTGCCAGGGCAGTCACGTCTGTAGTATAGTTGCGCTGTGCTGTCATGTTGTTCTATGGGACAGACAGACAGCAGCGATTGCGTTATTGAATGGTAAAAATATATATAAAAAAAGACACACACCCAAGTACTTTTTCAGCTGTAATTGCATTATTGCATACTTTTTATTGACAGTTTTGCATTTGGAGAGGCAGGGTGACAACGGAAAGCTTGGTAGCCTATTACTTAGATACGTTTTACATTTTTGGAGGGAAACGCTTGTGTTCATGTTAGCATGGGTAGCATGATCATGTTAAGACTATGAATATCATTTTACCACAACAGTGGATGAACAATTGATATATGTGTTTGAACAAGAACAACAGGAAGAACAAAGTAAAAGGGACGAACAAATGTGTGAACAAGTATTAAGAACAGTATATGGAAAAAATGATGTGTGTTAGAACAAAACAAAGTAAAATGAATGAGAAGGAGAACAAAGAGGGTTAGGGTTCAACAGAAAAATATTAATTCAGCCAAAAAACACAATCTTGATTAATCTAAAGTGTAAAACAATCTTCAACACAGACCAAATGAGTGCCTTTGGACAACAAAACATATGGTGGGGCAAAGAAACGATAAATTAAATTAAGACAGAGTGGGAGACTGAAAATGATTACTATGATAAATATTCAAACTATTTACAGAAGCTCCTGTTGAACCATGGTTCAACAGAGCAACAAAAACAGGTTTGTCAATGACGAGGCCACTTTGCCAGGGGGAGGTGATCCAGCGACGAGACAATAAAGCAATTCATATTAGGTTCTGTTGAGGCACTACAGGATATAAAACCTTCCAAGCCATGACCTCTGCCTGAAACCAGGACCACTCAGAGGAGAATGCAGCACATCAAACTGGAGTCAGGAGTGTGAATAACACATTTTGGCAAAAACAAATGGTTGCTTACCAATACAGTGGCTGAACAATGGACACCAACAAGTGAAAAACAGAAGCATAATTGTACGAACAACAATAGTTATTTACAAACAACCATTTACAAAAAAGCAACTATTTATAAAAAAGCAATATTATTTACAAAAAAAGTTAGGGTAAGCAACTATTTACAAAAAAGCAATACTATTTACAAAAAAGCAATACAGAACTCTAGGGCATTCAGGAGCCTAACCATTTGGAAAAAAACAAAAAGGTTCCTTTGTGAAAGGGACATCCTCTTCATCTGTTTCCTGGGCCCTAAAAAGCAGAGCAAGAATAGGAACAGTGGTGAATAAGGGGAGAGAATACAGTTGGGAGCAGACTGAACAGAGGACATAGCAATATTCATGTTAAAATGTTTGCACAACAAATATTATGGCACTTTCGTTTATATTGCATTTTAATAGATCAGTTGTCATACCATGGTTGGATGTGCAGCATTTGGATGCTCTAATCGATCCGAGAAGGGGTTCCAGATGTATGGCTTCCCTAAGGACGTAGAGCGAAGGAAGAGATGGATGGCAATGGTCAACAGACAAAACCTGTGTCTGACAGAGGACAACAACAGCAGAAAACTCTGTCATGTAAGTAATGTTCACAGAGGTGACATGACTTGTTAACATTATAAAGGGCATCATATTTCCAAGTGTAGAGAATTATGACTCTTCAATGACATTTGAAGTGTGCAGTGGAAACTGATAAAACCTACCTACCTACAGGTACACTTTGAAGACGACCAATATATTGGCAACAAATCAGGAGGAAATTTGAGGTTGAGGCCAGACGCTGTTCCAACAGTATTTATACATCGGCCTAAGCCGAAAAGGAGGAAATCCACATCAAGGAGTATGCCTCCAGCTGTTAATGTCAGGAATGATGACCACACCTATTATGGCACATCAAACATTGGTATGATATATGAAGCTAACAATGTTTCCCATGTTATATAATTCAAGGATAGACGTCCTTCAGATTATACAGCTTCAAAACTACCAGGGTTCAGGGATTCTCTGAAGACTCATATACCACATGTAGATCATCTACAGATTTCTTCATACTTTAACATTGCCAATAGACGAACTTAGATGAATGTCACTATAGGAGTGTAGTGTACCCTTAAATGACAATAGGTGCACAGCACATGTAATGTTCATGTGTCTTCTCGCAATTATCACTGGCCCTGTGTATCTCGTAATCGCTATAACCGGCCTGCTCTCGTCTATCCCACATGCTCCACTGAGATCCAACATCTAGTTTCAGGTGGCCTGTGGAACTACCTGTCAGCTGTTCCTAAGGCTGACTTCATCTCTGGCTACGCCTCCCTGCAGACCCTGAAATTTCCTTGCTCTCACTGAGACCTGGATTACTCCATCCAACACATCCACCCCAGCAGCTCTCTCCACAGCATATTCCTTCTCCCATACACCCAGACCCACTGGCAGAGGAGGTGGCACTGGTCTCCTGCTCTCTCCCTAATGGCGCTTTTCCCTCTTCAAGCTACCTAACTTCACTCCTTCCACCTTTGAATTCCATGCCGTCACAGTAACCCATCCTATACAATGAACCATTGTTGTTCTCTACCGTCCACCAGGCGCCTTGGGGGACTTCTTGGAGGAATTAGATCATCTCCTCTCACACATCCCTGAAACTGGCCCTCCCGCTGTACTTCTCGGAGACTTCAACCACCAGACGGGGAAGATAGACGAACTAACATCTCTGTTAACCGCCTTTGCTTTCTCACTGTCTCCGTCCCCACCGACTCATAAAGCTGGCAATGTCCTTGATCTCATATTCTCAAGGAACTGCGCTACTTCTAACCTCTCTGTAAACCCGCTCCACACATCCGATCACTTCTTCATTTCATTCTCTCTACCCCTTTCCAAACATAAAAAACTAATCTCTTCTCATCCTGCACCTGTCCGCCGTAACCTTCGTTCCCTCTCCCCCTCTCCCCCTCTACCTTTGCCTCGTCGGTGCTCTCAGCCCTCCCTTCCTCTGACTCGTTCCAACTCCTGCCTCCAAACTCTGCTGCAGAAACTCTCCTCTCTACTCTCTCATCCTCTCTGGACTCTCTCTGTCCTCTCACATCTCGGCAGTCCCCTCCTGCTCCCTGGCTAAATGACGCACTGCGTGCTAATAGAACCGTCCTTAGGGCAGCAGAGCGGAAACGGTGGAAATCCAAACACTGTGACGACCTCCTAACCTATCAGGCTCTCCTCTCCTCTTTCTCTGCTTCGATCTCTCAGGCAAAAAGCACTTTCTTTCAAGATAAGATCCAATCTTCCTATTCCAATCCTAAAAAACTATTTTCCATCTTCTCCACCCTCTTGGACCCTCCCAAAGCCCCTCCCCCCTCCTCACTTCTGTCAAGCGACTTTGTTAACCACTTTGAAAAAAAGGTTGAAGATATTCGCTCTTCTTTTTCTGACTCACCTTTACTCACCGCTGGGTCACCAGACCCTCCTTCCACCAACACACTAACCTCCTTTTCCCCTCTCTCTCCAAGTGAGGTTCTTACCCTCATTACCTCTGCCCGCCCTACCACCTGTCCTCTGGACCCTATCCCTTCAAACCTCCTTCAGACTATCGCTCCTGATATTCTACTGTTTCTCTCCCGTTTCATCAACACTTCTCTAACTTCTGGTCACTTTCCAAACAGTCTCAAGGAGGCAAGAGTAAACCCTCTCCTAAAGAAACCCACTCTCAACCCGTCTGATGTTATAAACTACAGGCCTGTCTCTCTACTCCCGTTCCTGTCTAAAACACTTGAACGCGCTGTCTTTAAACAACTCTCCTGTTATCTCCATCAGAACAACCTTCTGGATCCGCACCAGTCTGGTTTCAAGGCAGGTCACTCCACAGAAACTGCTCTCATTGCTGTCACTGAGGAACTGCACACTGCCAAAGCAGTATCCCTCTCCTCTGTCATCATCCTGTTGGACCTGTCTGCTGCATTCGACACGGTGAACCATCAGATCCTCCTTCACACTCTCCAAGAACTTGGAGTGTCAGGCTCAGCACTTTCCCTCCTCACCTCATACCTCAAAGACCGTACCTACAGGGTAACTTGGAGAGGGTCCGAGTCCGACCCTTGTCAATTAACTACAGGGGTCCCTCAGGGCTATGTTCTCGGTCCCCTCCTCTTCTCCCTGTACCCAAACTCGCTGGTCGCATGGTTTTTCATACCACTGCTACGCTGACGACACCCAATTAATTCTGTCCTTTCCCCGCTCAGAGACCCAGGTCGTCGCCCGCATCTCTGCTTGTCTAGCTGACATGTCTCAGTGGATGTCTGCTCACCACCTCAAGCTCAACCTTGACAAGACTGAACTGCTTTTCCTTCCGGGAAAAGATTGTCCCACTCTTGACCTGACAATCAACATCGGCACCTCTGTTGTTTCCCCGACTCAGACTGCAAGGAATCTGGGTGTGATCCTAGATAACAACCTGTCCTTCACTGCAAACATAGCTGCTACAACCCGTTGCTGCAGATACACGCTTTACAACATCAGGAAGATACGTCCCCAGCTGACACAGAAAGCGACGCAGGTTCTGGTCCAGGCTCTCGTCATCTCAGGCCTAGACTACTGCAACTCCCTCCTGGCTGGTCTACCTGCATGTGCCATCCGACCTCTGCAGCTCATCCAGAATGCAGCGGCTCGTCTGCTCTTCAACCTTCCTAAATGTTCCCAAACCACTCCGCTCCTCCGCTCCCTTCACCGGCTTCCGGTAACTGCTAGAATCCACTTCAAGACACTGGTACTTGCATACCATGCTGCGAATGGATCTGGCCCTTCCTACATCCAGGACATGGTTAAACTGTACACCCCAGCGCGTGCACTCCGCTCTGCATCAGCCAAACAGCTTACTGCACCCTCGCTGCGAGGGGGACCCAAGTTCCCATCAGCAAAAACACGTGGGTTTGCTATCCTGGCTCCAAAATGGTGGAATGAGCTCCCCATTGACATCAGGACAGCAGATAGCCTGCACATCTTCCGGCGCAGACTGAAAACTCATCTCTTTCGACTCCACCTCGATCGATAGAATTACTAACAAATAACTGCTAACAGAGCACTTATATACTAATAAAGGACTGGCTTATCTATAGCCAGTTGAGTAGCACTTGAAATGTTTGGCTCTATGAAACCTTATATGATTCTGTTTTCTTCAAGGTTGTGTCTTCCTGGTCGAATGTACTTATTGTAAGTCGCTTTGGATAAAAGCGTCAGCTAAATGCAATGTAATGTAATAATGTAAAGGCAGCATACACATATAACAGCAAGATTGCCTTGTTATTGTTACAGAGATTCAGGGAGATATTGAGGTGGAGTTCCAAGGGAATGAAAGGTACATAACAGACAGAGAGAGTGAGACAGATGTCAGCAGACTGCCAGGGGCCAGTATGTCAGGGGCCGACAATCAAGAGGCCACCTTACCAGAGATCAGTGTGCCAGGAGCCAGTCAGTCAGGGGTCAGCTATGAAGAGGCCAGTTTGCCAGGGTCAGGTGCTCCAGGGACCAGACTGCCAAGGGCCAGTTGTGACCGGGCTCACGTGGAGGATCTAATGAGGCAACTGAGAAGGGAGAGATTACTAAGAGAGAGAGCAGAGAGGGCTCTGGTAAACCGGAAAAGGATTAATTCGGCATTTAAAAAAAAACACAATTTGATTAATCTAAAGTTTAAAAAAATCTTCAACACAGACCAAATTAGAGCCAGATTACCGTCCATCTGATGAGGTTTTCACCCTTGTTCAGAACGTGGAGCAGCTGTTCCGTGTGAGGACGAGCAATTCCCTCACGGCCCGTCCACACAGCGGCGTGCGTTGAAGCTTCCAACGCTTCTGCCCATTCACTTTGAATGGGGTGACGTCACTTTTAGCCGAACTGCATTTTGGGAAGCGACGTGGAGCATTGCTGGCGTTGCTGGCTTCAAAAGTTGAGCAATGTTCAACTTTTGACGCCTCGACGGAGGCGTCAGCCAAGGAAATCCCGTTTATGCAAATCTGCCAGTACAAGCGCTAGCCAATCAAACCGCGTGTATGCTGGGAGAGACTACGCAGGTCATTTCCTCATATTCCAAAAAATGGAGGGAAAATTCATTATAGCGGTAGTGAATCACCCGGTGCTGTATGATCAGTCTCTGTTCATCTACCGGGATACAAACCGGAGGAGCGAGGCATGGAGGGAGGTGGCAGAGACAGTGGATGAAACTGGTAGGTTTTCGCCTGTTTGGGGATTTTATATCCAGTTTACTTCGTTTTAACATTGCTATTGCTTTGTATGTCGGGGGCGGGAGATTCATGTGATTGGTTGTTGGTCGCGTTGCTCGCAAAAAATCCCCAAGCTTCAGACACGCCCACCGCCAAGCGTCAACGCATGCCGCTGTGTGGACTGGCCGTCATGGAGTCCTCAAATGCAGTGTCACAGCTGGAACAAGAAGCCATGTTGCTGGACAGCAACCTTCCCTCATGCCATGACCTGAAGAAAAAAATCCTCTCAACATACATCAGGCTGAGGTTAAGGATTGCATCAAAGTGCATCAGGGCTTAGAGGAAGGATAAACATAAAGGGTATCTTGGCAGCAAGAGTCAGAGTAAGAAGGCAAAGAAGACCCAACAGACCTCTGCACCGAAGGTCATAACATCTAGGCCACTGCCAAACACCTTACTCGTTGCCATCGATGTACTTGGCATCTCCATTCCCGGTCCACCGTCAGCAGCCTCCAGCCTCCTCTTCTTTCAGCAGTCATCACCTGCAGCCGTTGCCAGCACCAGCCTCCTTCAGCAGCAGCACCCTCCAGCAGCAGCACCCTCCTCCAGCAGCAGCACCCTCCGCCAGCAGCAGCAGCAACAGCTATGGCTGACATATGAGGCTGAATAAAAAAAAAGGGCTTTTTTTTTTTTTTTAAGTGTTTATTTTGTTAAAAATAAACATTTTGGATGCATGACCATGTTTTAGGCTCATCCTTCATTCACTGCTGTAGAGTAGTCTATTCAGTAGGCTATTATTTTTTAAGACTGAATAATACCTTTGAAGAACAATCATTAAACTAGTGTGTATATTACAATACAAAGGAATCTATCCTAGCATGCCATCAAGCATTAAAAAGTAGCGCTAGGCTAGTTGTACAGTACAGATGAGTTAACACAGAACAGTACAAAAAAAACTAAGTACAGTCAACATGTCACATAATGAAATGTTAGTATATCCCAAAATTCAATGAAATATTAAATGAAATATTTATCACAAACGCCACCTCATTTCTACTAGTGCTAGCAGTTAATTCATATCATGTTTACTGAGCTGTGTGGTGTTTGTTCAACTTTTAAAAGATGTTTGAATGGTGATATACACAGTGATAGATGTTAAGGACTAACGTTTATAATAAATACATTTGTATTGATTTTAAGATCTTTTCATAGTTCATACAATCATACGTATTGGGATCATTTGTATTAATGTGGACCGGAGGGAGAGGGTGACGAGCATAAGTTTCACTTTCTCTAAAGTACTGCAGTCTATTCTCCTAAATCCTTTTGAATTCTCCTATCCACTATCCCTTAACCCCGTGACGTTTCACTCAGAGGTCAAGGAATAGGAGATAGGGTTAGAATTTAGGAGCTGATTTTTGGATTATCGGAACGCAACCTTGGGCTCTGGACAGAGCCACCCACGGCACTGGTTGTCTCCGAACCCGCCCCCTCACGATTTTGATTGACAGTGGACCTTCTTTGATGTTCTCATCCATGGTCGCGAGGCGCATCTGTTTCTATTTTCCTGTTTACAGTCATAAAACCTATTTTTACAACCGTCGTTTTGGCGTCCAATGTTACATTACCGTATCAACTTCAGTCTGCATACAGTTAGCAAGCCAGGCCAGCATTGCTAAAGCTAACGTTCCTAGGTTAAATTAACGTTAACTGTGATATTAATCAATGTCAACAGCCATGCGTAAATACGTCTGATTGTGAACATTAATTTAAGTTGTTAAACAACTCTTGTATGAATGAGCCTGTTGTAAGTAGTTACTACACTTCAGTGAGCAGTGGTACATTAGTCATACAGTATACGTGTAGGCCTAGTAGGGGGGGAAATAAACCAGCTCCAAGGCAATGGAAGCAGCATGACCTCAATCAGAAGATAAAGTTTAGCAACACAAGTATATATATTGACATGGACAAGATACTGGTGCAAATATTATCAATCAAATGAGTTACACTGAGTGACTTACTACAGACTAAAACATTATTATGATCATTTCAGATTGAGAAATGCCCCATGCATACATTTCAAATGTATTCTTAATAACTTAAATAGTTTACATAGCAGGTATGATAAACAGTCACAACATAATCAATGTCTTATTGTGTCCCCTCCTGCTCACAGCCCTGTTTAAACTATTTAAAGTAGCAGGGACAACCTATGTAAATTAACCTCGGGTTACATCTGGTGTACAGGGTTTATCCCACACTTTCTGTGTTTTTGATATACAAACAAATAAAATAAAATGTGCATTTCAGGTATGCTTGTGACATCTGTGTCATTGGGATGCTTCTGGAACAAATGATTGGCAACAGCCCAGCACAACTGGTGAAGCAGCTCAGGGAGAACCATGGCCGGTTGAACACTATTATGGGGAGTGAGCTGACTTTGTGGCTCGGCCCGGCCTCCCCCCTGTGGTTTGCCAGGAGCCCCCAGAGCCCATCCACATCCAAAGCAGTCCATGTACGGCAGGGATATCCTCTCTCACATGGACCATATCAAGGCCAGCATCACCTCCACATTTGGTTCCATCTTAAAAATGGACTCAACCAAAAAGGTAATATATAATGTGACTGTGTATTTGATTTCCATGTTTGTTATACTCTCCTATACACAATAGTTGATCGCACTGATAACATTACATATATCATTTTTATTATAAATGTGATTGATGAAATAGTCTGTTGTCACATTTCAGATCACAGAGCATTAGGCTGGCCACAGCAAAGGGACAGCGGCAGCTCTTCCCTGCTCCACCCTCAGGTCCTCAGGTGGTGATGCAGCTCTTCCCTGCTCCACCCTCAGGTCCTCAGGTGGTGATGCAGCTCTTCCCTGCTCCACCCTCTGGCCCTCAGGTGGTGATGCAGCTCTTCCCTGCTCCACCCTCAGGTCCTCAGGTGGTGATGCAGCTCTTCCCTGCTCCACCCTCAGGTCCTCAGGTGGTGATGCAGCTCTTCCCTGCTCCACCCTCTGGCCCTCAGGTGGTGATGCAGCTCTTCCCTGCTCCACCCTCAGGCCCTCAGGTGGTGATGCAGCTCTTCCCTGCTCCACCCTCAGGTCCTCAGGTGGTGATGCAGCTCTTCCCTGCTCCACCCTCAGGTCCTCAGGTGGTGATGCAGCTCTTCCCTGCTCCACCCTCTGGCCCTCAGGTGGTGATGCAGCTCTTCCCTGCTCCACCCTCAGGTCCTCAGGTGGTGAGTGATGCAGCTCTTCCCTGCTCCACCCTCAGGTCCTCAGGTGGTTATGCAGCTCTTCCCTGCTCCACCCTCTGGCCCTCAGGTGGTGATGCAGCTCTTCCCTGCTCCACCCTCAGGTCCTCAGGTGGTGATGCAGCTCTTCCCTGCTCCACCCTCAGGTCCTCAGGTGGTGATGCAGATCTTCCCTGCTCCACCCTCAGGTGGTGATGCAGATCTTCCCTGCTCCACCCTCTGGCCCTCAGGTGGTGATGCAGCTCTTCCCTGCTCCACCCTCTGGCCCTCAGGTGGTGATGCAGAGTTTCCCGGCACCACATCTGAGCTCTCAGATGGAGCTGCGGCTCTTCCCTGCTCCACCTTTGGGCTCCATGATATGTTCTCCAGTGAGCTCACAGGTTCCTGTCCTGGTTGCTGCTCCACAGGCCCTGAATGCCAGCCTCTCTCTGCTTTTCCTGCTCCTGCTCCATACAGCCAAACACTGACCCGTGCAGAAAGTTTGGGACTGCGGATACTGGACACAGCCTGTTCGGCCCCCTTAGGTCATAAGTGTAATGTTTAATGAAGGTTTCACATTGTTCATTGTTGTTATAGGACTTTTATTTTGACGCTTTAAGTTAGACAGGAAAGTAGGAGAAAGTGAACTGAAGAGTAAAAGGGTCAAGTCGTCAGAAAGCAATGACTGCAAGTGTAAGGATTAGTAACATGTATTGTGTGTATTTATGTGATGACATTTGGAGATGTTTAAGCTTGTGTGGAGTCTATTTGTATATAACATTACAAGGTTGATTCTTATTATGACATGATATGCTTATTGTGCTCATGAGATGTTGCTATGACTATGGAATAAATAGACACAATCACCAATCAGGTTCTGATGGGTTGGATACGAAACGAAGGGAATAGTCATAGAAGAAAGTTTAGCTGCATTAGAAATGTTGCAAAGACCAGACCAGACATACATGTCATTATTTGACCCGGTGTCTGCTTAATAAGTATTGTTGTTGTCTGCATCACCGCAGAATGATACAGAGTACTGTCATAAGGAAATTGATATTGATCCCCCCAGGGAACGTCAGTTAGAGAAACTAAAATAAATAATAAATGAGAGATCCCAAAACGTTGTTCTTTAAATGTTGTTTTGTGTTTTCTATTTGTTTTGCTACTGAGAAGCTCAAATGCTATAGTTATACAGTTGTTTCTGAAAAATCATACATAAAATAACTTAAATGTTATTGAATCTTATCACGTGATGTCTATATTTTTTGCAGAAAATTCTGGATGAAAGTATTGATAAGAGTATCGATATATACCAGTAACGATAAGCAGTATGAAAACGATACCAATCCCTACTTATTAAACAGCCACCACTGGAATCTTATATCGGGGTAGATAACCTTTATCTGCAACTGGACGTTTTTCCTTGTACGATGTGAGGGTCTAAGGATAGAGGGTGTCGTTTTTCACTCATACTGATATTCTGAACAATCTGTGCTGTTGTATTTGCTGTAAAGTGTCTCTACTGTAGGCTATTTGTATTATATGTACAGCACTTTGGCTCGACCAAAAATCGTTTATAAATGTGCTATATAAATAAAACTTGATTTGATTTGATTTGCAACTGAACATATTGATTTGAACAGAATGAATAGGCATGCAAACAGACAATACAAGTCATTTCAAATTTGAATGTCAACGTTTGAATTGAAGCTTGGCACTTTGTGGTACGATCCTCCTTACTTGTGTGTACTTGGATGGCATTAGTCCATACCACTGAGCCTGGTATCACACCTAATCATATTAGACTGTTGTCTAATATGATTATATATTAATAGGATATTAAAGTGACCATGAAGGTGACAGTGGAGATAAAGCTTATTCCTTTATCTGTGCCCCGTCCTTTTCTAAACTTGTGTTCCCCTCTCCTGTCAGTCATATGTTCCACACACTACTCAGTGACCGATTGACAGAAGATAAATAACAACAAATAATTACTCAAGACCAAAAGGTAAGAATTTCGGGCTGTATTAGTTTGGTGTCATTAGAAATGGGTTAAACATAACTCTACCTCTTCGCTGTTAAGTGGCGATCAATTGGTTTGCAACACATTTACATTCAGATATTTTCTTTGTATATTTATTAATGCAATACAATTTTACAAGAAATGCTTAATGTTTTAGGTGGTATTTGGTGGTATATATGATTATATCCTGTAATCAAATCATTTGTTGATAGATATATTATAAAGTTGTATGTCTGTTCAAGTCATGTTATTCCACGTTTAAAGTCAACTTTATGATCTTCATTTTAATTTCTTAAAACTAACCATGCACTAAATGAATTGCTTTGATAAGAAGAAGGATTTCACTGATTGAGATTAAAGGGTATTATCACTTTCTGTTGGATGCAGTTTTGATTAGGATCCAGCTGTGTCAGCACAATAGCTTTTAACCCTTAGATGCATAAGTGGGTCTTTTTGGACCCGGTGAGGTGGTTTTCTTTAAGTATTTTTGTAATTACATTTTTTTATCATTTCATATTCCAGCTATACCTTAAAAAACATGTTTTGGATATCATACCATTCACATTTTAAATTTACATTTTAAGAAATTGTAGTTTTTGTATTTCTACCCCAGCTTCCATAAGTGGGTCAAAAATTACCCGCATGCATTTCCTATGGGATCCTATGGGAACCTTTGATTCTTATCACCTGTGGCTGTCAGGAATACATTCACTGTGGACCACACAGACTACATCACAAGTGACACCTCTCAGGAAGATTATTTTACACAGCAAGATCTGATACCTGTCAGTATAATAATAATAATAATAATAATAATAATAATAATAATAATAATAATAATAATAATAATAATACATTATATTTGTATAGGGCTTTTCAAGGACTCAAAATCGCTTTACAATATAAGGGAAGGTTAGGGTGGGGGGGGTATAGGACTATCAAACTCCGGCATGGATTGATGGGGGGTGGGCTACGAGTAGACAAGAGGAGAAGAGATGAGTTTTGAAAAGGCACTGGAATACTGTGAGGGTCTCAGAATAGCGGAGATCTTTGCATCAATATGTTCAAAACGATCTTTTTCAAAAAGTAAAAAAAATGTTTAAAATTATAAATAGTGAAAAATTAAATATAAAACATTTCTAGTGTGAACCAAAATATAATACTAAATATTATACAAGTGATTTTTCTTAACCAAAATGACAAAAATGGCATAAAAACACATATTATTCTAATAAGGGTCCTTTTAGACCCACTTATGGAAGAGTGTAGGTCCAGTCACTCGGGCATCTAAGGGTTAATGTGGCTTCCTCCTGAATGCATTACATGATACTTTTTTGAGCACCAGTCATCAAAGTTGGCATCGAACAACATTTAATTTATTGGAAGAATTCATGCCACTTTCGGTTCATTTGACTCAAATGAACTCAAATGAACCGAAATATAATGATTCGACATCACAGATGAGAAATATATATTCAATCAAATGAATTCTGTATAGTCCTAAACCCTTCATTCATAAGTGAATATGCTGCCATCCAAATAGTTTTAAAATAAAAAGTTACATCTGTAGCTTTTCTCTAATTCTACATTTTTAGAATCACAGCAATAGAATAAAATAAAAAGTAGCTTGGGTTATAAAAAGGTACTCAGAAAAACATTTTTAGCAGAACATGTCAAATCACTCACATGCCACTACTTACTCAAATGCATTTGTAGACGTCAGACTTCTGGTAATCTCAGTATGATCTGATAAGTACACATCAGCCTGGATCACAGTAACTGATTGTGATGACAACATGCTGCTGATAGTTAGGTCTGCAAGTGTCACAGTGATCAGTGCTGCGTATTCAACTTAGGGCTATGTTAGGCTATACTAAACTTAGGGCTATGTTAGGCTATACTAAATGTAGGGCTATGTTAGGCTATACTAAACTTAGGGCTATGTTAGGCTATACTAAACTTAGGGCTATGTTAGGCTATACTAAACTTAGGGCTATGTTAGGCTATACTAAACTTAGGGCTATGTTAGGCTATACTAAACTTAGGGCTATGTTAGGCTATACTAAACTTAGGGCTATGTTAGGCTATACTAAACTTAGGGCTATGTTAGGCTATACTAAATGTAGGGCTATGTTAGGCTATACTAAAATGCCTGAATTAAAGACAATCATTTTCTCAGTATGTTTGCCTTTTGTCCAGACTAAATGTCTGGGCGTATCTTATTCTTTTGACAATACATAGACAATCAATTATCTTTATACCATACAGTTAAGCTTGAATTATGTATAAACACAACTGCTTCAAACAAGATACAATAAAATATAGTGAACTCACAAAGTCTGAGCTAACTATTTACTAGCAATGTACAAGCAATACAATCAAAACAAAAACTCAACTTGGTATTTCAGGGGTTTATTTGGGATGGAATTGTAAGATGTTCTTTCCTAACGACATGTGTTCACCTGCGCTCTGTGACCAGTGAGATGATCCAGTGTGTGTGTTCTCTGTTAGACTGCTAGCATGATGTCCGGCCAGGAGGAGGAGGAGCTACCTGTCAATCACACAGGTCAGCGGCATGAGTCAGAGAGATGCAGCAGACATTAATTGCTATATTGGCAGTCTAAATGCACTCTCTATATTATACGTTTTCAAAATCATCATATCATCATTAACACTTTGACATAAAACCGATACATATGTATTTTATTGAGGTATCATGCAATTATATTTCTACTGACTACATGCAGTTTCATTTATACGTTATATTTAAGTACGTTTTTATGTTTTTATTTGTGGTCTTTCTCTGTATCTGCAGGTCCAAAGGGTGTAATAAATGACTGGCGGAGGTTTAAGTTGGACAGCTTGGATCCGACTGTCCCTCAAAGCAAGAGAGAGCTGCTCAGACAAATGTCCAGCCCAAGAGAGGATGACAAGGAGAGACTCAACAGAAAGGTGGATGGAAACACTCATTGAACCTCACACAAAGGAAAGCATGACATTGATAGATATTAGAGTAAATTAGAGGATGGCAATAGACTAGAACTGTACAGTATGTGCCAATGAAATGCTTTCTACAGAGATTTAGAATCCAAATTACAACCTGAGTCTTCCACAAAGAAACAGACACACAAGACAGACTTAATCATACAACTAAGGTGCAGAATATTCTACTGCAGCTTTTTTTTGTTCCTCAGTAGCTTTTGACAAAAAACATCTGCCAATAGAATAGATTTGAATCTAACAACAACAAAAATAAGTAACACAATATTCCTCACCCCCAGATGAGTGCTCAGGAGTACGAAATGATCCAAGAGGAGGATGAAGGTAGCCTGAAGCGCTACAGAACTCAGTCCATGCAGGAGATGCACGAGCGCCTGAGCTTCGGACCCGCGTTTGAAGAAGTCAAAGAACTTGAGTCTGGAGACGCCTTCCTAGAAGTCATAGAGAAGGAACATCAGATGACTCTCGTGATAGTCCACATTTACCAGCACGGTGTCAAAGGTTGGATTCATAGGTTTAGCTCATCGACTCATGTTATAATTAGGGCTTCCCTCAACTAAGGATTTTTCTTGACGACAAATCGTCTTCAATTAGATTAGTCGACTAATTGTTGCACGTTTATGATATATTTATTGTAAGGCACTTTGGATAAAAGCGTCAGCTAAATGCTATGTAATTCAATGTAATGTAATATACTATATGTTTTCACTGCAGTACTGTTTGCTCACAGTTCTGCCTTGTTTCCTCCTAGGCTGCGAGCAGCTGAACTCATGTCTGGACTGCCTGGCTCTGGAGTACTCCAGCATCAGATTCTGCCGTATTGATGCTGTGGCTACAGGCGCTGCTGAGCGCTTCACCCCTGAGGTTAGTAAACTCTCTAAAGTAAAGCAGCAGAGAAAGTAACAATAATGGTAATATTATTAAGACAGGACCTATGACCAATTACACACATTTGATTGAATCACAATATTCCCAATCAGGTATATGTAGCAGTGTTTGTAGTCACACTTTTAAGAATAACTGTGAGGTCATGAGAAGCAAATTGACGTTAAACACCTCACATGACTAGCATTTGAGTGTGTGGCACTAGAAAGACCAACACCTTTTCAAAACCAGAACCAAAGAGCACAATCAAATTATTGACAAGACAAAATTGCTTTTGTCCTCTTATCATTGTGAACTAAATCATGCCTGAATGCAAAGCTTGACATGCATAGCGACAATAACTAAATTGCTCATTTCTTTCGTCATATTTAACGGCTGTAATAACAAAAACAAATCTAATTGTTGGTTTAGCATTTTCCACAGTTTAACTGACATTGGAGTTGCATTGATCTCCTTGTTATGGTAAAAAGGTTCAAATTATTGTTCTAAGATAATAAGTAGTGACTATAAAAGCAGTGTCACTTTCACTGAGCAGCCTCAGCCTGCAGGCTCATCTTCCTGTTCATGTGCTTCCAGGTACTTCCTGCCCTGCTAGTGTACAAAGCTGGTGAGTCACTGGCTCATTTCCTGGCTGTTACCAAACACTTCAATGAAGACTTCTTCGCAACAGATGTGGAAGGTTTTCTCAATGAATATGGCCTGTTACCGAAGAAGGAGTTCACAGCATGGGCTGATGATGAGGACGAAGGAGGGGATGTGGAATAATAGCAGAAGGAAAGAGAAACAGATGGAGGAGAAGGGGGGAGTTTGGAGAAAGGCAGAACAGGAGTAAATAGAGAGGGAATGTAACAATAGAGAGTTGAGGAAAGGGATTGGGGAAGAAGTGGAGGAAAACAGTGGCGGGGAAATGTTGCAGTCATGACACTAGAGTTAGAAAAACCTATACATGGCACGTGCAAATAAATACACAACAGTCAAATATGCCAGACACTGAATGCTGGTTATATAAACAGAGTAAGCTGCCGTGGGTTGTGTGAGAAAGTCTGTGCTGAAATATTGCTTTGCATCAACATTATAGCTCTACAATAAAAGGCCACTTAACCAAATGCTCTCAGTTTGGATCACAATACAGATATTCAGCAGGTCAGCTGTCAGACTTCTTTTGTGGTAATATTTGTACTTGCCACAATAGTACGCGGTGTGTGTGGGTAACATGCGTTTTTAAGTTGTTGAGATGTCACCCATCCACACAGCAAACAATGTGTAGGAATTAAGTGTGACATCATTTGAGGGACACACAAGTTACACATATTTGAAAAAGCAGTTTTAATAGAAAGATCCAATTTCAGAGACAAGTCCCCTGTTTTGCAAATCCATAATTTTAAAGTATTATAAATGATTGTTGGTGGAAAATACAGTTTAACTCTATTTGCTACTGTTACCGAATACTGTTGGAGCTGTGTGATTTTGCAGCTCCTCCTGGGAGACCGGAGGAGCCAAGACTGGATTCATTTGTTTCTACACAGAAAATATAGACTGTTCTCTCCTGCATTTCTTTAGAGTTGACTCTTTTAAGGGCAAAGAGCAACATTCACTACCGTAAATGGAACATATACAGTAACAGGAGGTCACACTATTGTCTACTTGCATCGGTTGCCAACCTGATTTACGAATATGATACTGAATGACGTGAAAACTATATAACATTACTTTCTGCTCCTTTTAGCAGCATATCTCGTGTGTGTGAGTTGAACCATATCTCTGTATGTGATTTAACTCCTTCTTGCAATAATAAATTGGGACCTGATCATTGATTCTCAAGCCATGAGAAAAGCCTTTTAAGTTATATTCTATGTAAACAACCCCCATAACCAATGGTTCATGTGTAATGAGTTAACTACACGAGGGTACCAAGGTGACAGAATTAAGGATTACAGTGTCTTAAGGTTGTACGTTATTTGGACGATCATTATAATTAATTGAAGCTCCAAGGAGAAGTATTTAGTCCGATAGTTCAAATTGGATGGATCAGTTCAACTTTCAACGCTGCTCTGGTGAAGCAAACATCCCCGAGTTCAGCCTCTCAGGCGCTTGCTTCCTCTCAGTCTCAACTGCTCCCAAAATGCTATACAAATCAAACGGTGTTGTCTTCTACATGATCAGGTGTTATGGTAAACCTTAATAACATATTTGGTTAGCTATGTATCTGTCAATATGTTTTATTGGAGCAGTTGTTGTACTTAGCACGAACATAAGTGCTGCCTGGTAGTCTGAACTTTGGGAAACATATCTTCCATGACCCATGTTTGTAGTCCATTCTCGCTGTTTTGACAGTGGGGCTAGCGATTAGCACAATGATTCTATGGTCGTGATTTGTGTGATCCAATAAATGTTAGCGAGCAATTACATTAATTAATAAAGTGAAACCTCACATTTGAAGAAGATGCAGGATGACGCGCGCTACCTCAAACGGTGAGACATAGAGCTAACATAAATCCAACAGCGTTAGTTAAATATGTTTTTTTGTGAAAGTAACGTAAGCTAGCTAACATTACTACCATTCTTTCTGCAATATATCTGTTAATATAATTAAAATATGCCAACATACTACGTCAGCTGCAACTATAGACGTTTGCCAAGCACCGAGGGTTGATAAGACTAGTGTTAGTTATTGAAATCCAATCGTATCTAATTAGTCTTGTTAACGTGTTATTACCTGGAGAGAAGCTCACACCAATGATTGCTATCATTTCGGGTAATTTTATGTTTTCGTGGTCTTCGGGCAAACGGAGCACCTAATGTTGGTGGTCCTAAGAGATTTTTTGTATTCGCGTTAACCTCCCAAACAATTCGGCATACATGTAAACAACAAATAAAACATTTGTCATGCTTGCAGCTGATCTGTGTGAATCGGTACACCGAACAAACTTGTGTTGTGTGGTGGATTTTCACAGTGCCGAATCTACCACAATACCATACAAACACTACATATGTATTTCATTTCCAACCGACCAATTATTTATGCCGCTAAACACAACGCCATTAAACCAACAGATAATTGAACGGGGTTCGCCATTACGTTCCCTTAATAAAGGGGGCTGGGGTATCTTCGTTACAGCTAACATAGCTAGCAAGCTACTGTGAAACTTATACAGAGCGATAAACTGACTAGCAAACGAGCTTCTGTGGAGCTGTCTTACACTGAGTTGAGCTAGTTTTTCTTATAGTTCAGCTCTTTATGAAACATACGTTAGTATGTTAGTCGGTTAACAGGCCTCTGCTGTACAGTATCTCGCTCTCTGGGTGTGTCTTCCATTACACTAGGCACTATCATATGTTTGTTTTGATGGATGCTTACATCGATGGTTTAATGTGTTTGAATGTTACTGGCTTGACAGCCGAGGACCATAACAGAATATACCAATATCTTAATTTCTTTATGCATTTATTTTTGCTTGTTTCCTTAATCAACATTTAAAGTCATTTCGAGTAGATAACACTTTATTGTCGTTGCACAGAGTACAGATACTAAGACAACGAAATGTAGTTAGCATCTCACAAGAAGTGCAAAACAAGCAGAAAGTGCAGAATTATTCATGCTATCATATACATATATACATGTGGAAGATACAAACGGAAGTGTTTACACTATGAACACTATAAGGAGGTATACACATAATTATAAACAGCAATATCATTATATACACTATAGATCAGGTATACAAATAGACAGTATAATACACTAGAAATAATGTGGAAATGGAGACATTTGCTTGTTAGTTTTGAGAGAGACGTTGATTCATTTATGGAATTTAAAACTTAAGCCAAATGCAAGGGTTTGTAAAAATGTATTTAAACTGGAGTTTTACAAAGTTATGGAACAACAATGTTTTTAGTTATTGTTTTCACATCTGCTGTTCATCTTCACCCAAAGCAAAGTGACTGCGGGCAGTCTGGATGTGCACCCCACAGAGAAGGCCCTGGTGGTTCACTACGAGGTGGAAGCCTCTATACTGGCCGAGGGAGGAGGGCATATGCTGGGTGAGCGGAAGGAGGGACAAAAAATGTGAGTTTACTCTTGATTCCCACACAGAACCCTATTCTTTACCATAAGCTCTGAGGCTGAAGTCTCTCTTTTTTTCTTCCTCTATTTGAAGTGAAATGAAAGGAAGTTTAAGTTTGAGCTAAATACCTATTATTATCTCCTTTATCTCGCCATCCACTCCAGATTTTATTCACATCTTTCTCTACCTCTTCCTCATTATTGTTTTTTAACCATCCTGAGTGAATAGGATTAGATAACCATATAAACAGTCATCTGTTTGGTGTGCTAACATGGAATGGACTAGTGTCATTTATCAGCTTGTTCCTAAAATATCTGGAAACATTGGAAATAATGATGGTAGAAGTATTTTTTCACCATAATTATAGGTTGGTAATGATCTTTCATCATGTTACATGTACTTCAGTTAAGTATTACGTTTCAAATGACTCATGCCTGCATTCTTATAAACATATTTAACACTTCCTTGTCTTTGTCCTCACTCCAGTATCCGAGTGAAGAGTCTGTCTCCGAGTACAGATGTGGGGGCTTTGGCAAAGAAAGTGGTGGAGGAGTGTAAACTCATCCCTGCTTCCCGTTTGCCCCAGGTGGAGCAGCTCCTCTACTACCTGCAGAACAGGAAGTCATCTCCTGTGGAGGGCAAAAGTCAGTCATGTCTTCTTTTTTCCAACCTTGCTGTTGAGTCTCAACATATCCCATAGTTCACCATCAAAGTTAGATGCAAACCCAATAGACAAATTCAGTTTACTTGAAGCATCTACAGTGGCACAGATGAAGGTTGTGTCTTGTTTTTCCAACCCAGTTTAGATTCGACCACTGCAACTTCCGCATTAACGTAGCTCTGCGTAAAGAGAAGGTCGCCGTTAACGCTGAAGTAATATCACGTCTACTCTAGCTTGATCAAAAACGATATGGGCTGTATATCAGTCAGTGCTTCATAGAAGATGAAAACGCGCTTTTTTAATATGAAAGAAGATCACAGTTATGCATAGCTGAGTAAATGTTAATATTATGTTTTTATATTAATTCACCATGGATTTTAAAATGATAAACTAGAGCAGTGGTTCTCAACTGGTCAGGCCTCGGGACCCACTTTTTTCTTAGTCAATAGATCGCGTCCCGACATTTCGAACCACTCAAATCTATTCAACAAAAAATCGTGCAGTAATATATACGCTTTTCAGCATACATTATTAGTTAAAGTGAAGTGCAGTGCATATATCCCTTATATCCCTTGTTCACAGAACAAAAACATGCTTTTAAATAAGGTTTAATGAGATGATGGAATCAAAGCTGAACTGTATAACATAAAAAGGCACACATGCTGACAACCCAACCGGTCTGGGGGGACTCTCCCATTCTGGTACACTCTGAGAAGAAAATAAATAGATGTATTACTACCCGACATATTCATAATATTTTATGCCATTGTTTGTTTTTCACTTTGTTCTGACAGCTTGCTGCTCCACACAGAGAGAAGAGTAAAGAGGAGAGAGTCTGTGTGAATTACTTTAAATTGTGGGTAAGGGTAGGTAGTTCTGTGACCTGTCAATCATCAAACTGGGGGTCATATTTCATTATGTGTTAAATTAATTTGTATTTGAAGTTGTACCCATGGATGTATAAAGAATAGTTCTACCGCAAAGTTATTCTCCGCGGGGACTTCCGGCAACAATCTTGATTCTGATTGGCCAGAAGACTCGAAAAAACATCAGCAAAGATGTTTTATTGAGAAGATGATCACTACGTGACAGAAGTTTTCAAAACCGTTGATGGTCTCAGGTGCTTCCAGTCCAACGCCTACTGCATGCAAAGGGTTAGAAAATCGGGACTTCAAAATTAAAGTTTGATTTTTTCCCCCAACAAAAACAAGTAATTTTTTTTTCTTTTTTTCTTTTCTTCACTCACACATCTGCGACCCACTCGAAACGGGTCCGCGACCGTTAAGAGCTACGTTAATATGGAAGTGGGCGTGGCTCGATCTAAACTGTGTTGGACAAACGATAGACGCATGAAGGTCAAATCATCACACTTGTACATGTAAAGCTTTACTTCAAGGCTTGATTAACATATTTCATCGATCTAATCATTTTTTGTCCCTGAAATCACTATTTGCTGATTCTTGTCTTTCTATAACTTAGAACTTCTAAGGAAAGACAACCTTAAAAACATTAAACATGTAACGACTCAGATGTGTCTGATCACTGTTTACCAGTTAATCAATCCACCTTTCAGATGTTGTGATGTTGAATACACGATGCAAGGATTCTGCAGAAAATATAACTGTATAATATAAACAATATTATACAATCATTAACCTTATAGGAAGAAGCAGGCGTTTCAAAGGAAATACTGCTATGTTTCCTAATGTTCTTCCCGTATGTGTGTCACCAGTGGAGAAGAAAGAGAAAAGACCTGTGAAACCCAGAGAGCTGACTCCTTTTGATGGAATGGAGGTAACAACTAAAACACTGTGTCCTACTCCCCCCTTATCTCAGCTCTCAAACAGCATTCTGTAAATGTTGTTCTGTGTATTTCATGAACATTCTTCAGCGTTATATCCTGATTAGCAGTAACACCAAATTTGAGTCCTCCATATCATGCAATAATGTATGACTTCCATTTAGGCCCCATCCACACAGAGACGATATCAGTTGAATCTGCTAACGTTCTCTATCGTTTAGACGGTTCGTCCACACGAGGCCGAAGCGGAAACGCGGATTCGGAGCCCAAATCCAATACACTTTGATAACGGCTCCCAAAGTGGGTAGGTCTGAGGACGAAACGCTTGCGGCTCCGTGTGTACGCCCTATACGATCATTCCCTGAAAACAATGACGCCGTAGCCCCGCCTCTCCCCACCTCTCCTGCTCACCCCCGCGCCACCCGCGTCATTGCTGATGCGTTTCGCCAACAACAACAACAACAATGGCGGATCACAGGGTTGCTTTCCTGCTCCAGACGCTACTGACCATGATACAACAAGTGGACAAGGAGAACTACATGTTGCTAAATCCACCGCGGAGAATAACCAGAAGGGCAACCAGGCAACCATGGCAACCATGCTCGGTGAGTCTTATTTGCTGCTTTTGGTGTATTTTGTGGTGTAAGTACAGCGCCACTTAAGGGCCCGGCATATATACTACAGCGTCTCCAGCGTTTTCGTGTGGACGGACCAAGCGGCAAACTCTGGGGAAGAACCGGGACGCCAATACGGAAGTGCCACACACTGCAGTTCATATATTGGCCGATAGGGACTGGCTGCAGAAAGGAGCAATTTCCATAGACCCCCATGTTAAAATGCCCAACTTTACAGCAGAAAAAAACATGTTTCTACCCATGGATGCAATAAATATTATTATGAATATAGTTAGGTTCCACCTTCATGATTATGGATCTGTGAGTGAATTGTTTTCTTTTTATTTATATTAGGTCTTAACGTTTTTGCATAAATTAGGGCGTGGTCACATTGAGTGACAGCTCTGTGAAGTGACTGCTGCTGTTAGCTTCTTGTCTCTCTGCTAGCTGCTCCGTGAAGCTACAGGGACTCTGCCTGCTCAGCTCATCCAGGGAACACAACTTGAAGCCGGCCGTGGTTGTTTGTTCTTCATGCTTATATATCGGACTATTGTGACTCGCTCTGCGATTAAAACAGACGGTGCATGCATGCGGTAAGTGAAAATCGAGTACTTATTTATGTGTTAATGATTTTAATCGGCTACGTAATGAATGTTAAGGCTTGGTTTAGTGTGTAAGTGAGTGGTAGCTACATCGGTGCTAACGATGCTAATCGTAGCCTACAAGTTAAAATCATAGACTGTATATATAAAGGTTAAAACGAAATAGACAAGTGTTAAGCGTTAAGTGGGATAATACTGTAAAACAAACGGCTTCTGTTTGAGGTTGATAAAATAAGGTCATCCTTGTAACTTAGAGATATTTTATTATGTACGTAGGAACTGTATGCATCGCTAAGGTTAATTTAAATTGGCTATGCTCAAGTATGTAGACAAGCTAACGTCGAAGTAGTGTATGTGAAATCAACCTCACAATAAGATGTGTGTATATTACAATTATTAATGTCATATCTCAAGATGATTAGTTAGATATTACAATATGGTTGGTTGAGCTGGAGTTCATTATTGAGCTTACACATTAATGTTACAGTCATCTGAAGAACGAACCCAAACCTTGTTGTTTTTATTAATTGCATTACCAAATGGGTATCAAATAAACAGTAAGCATTGGTAACACAACTTCCAAAGTTACAGTAAAATAAAAAGGACCCTGACTCGGACAATACACAATCCAACATGTTCAACAGAAGAGAATAAGTTATATTGTTTGTACACATGGTACTTTACAGATATATCTGTTTGTTTAAGGTGTCCAGGTGATGCAGACAGGCTGGACCAGAGAGTGAGAGACAGAACTGGACTCCTCACAGCAGTGAACTTCAGCACAGGTACAAAGACTCTTTTTTTACTGTACAAAGAATCAAGAAAGATATTGGTTTAAATGAATGAAGTATTGACTTTAATACACTGATATGTATTCCATTAAACAATACTAAATACTAGATCACCTACACATTAGTTAAGTTGAGGGTTTTTTCCATGCAAAAAGTTAAATTTTAGATATTTAGCAATATGACTTTGTCAGCTTTCTAATGTAATGTATTGAAGGCAAAGATATTTAACACATAGTGAGAACTGCTACTATTTATCTCCGAATATTGTCTGAAAAAACGTGGTAAAAGTTATCCTTTCAGTGAGACAACAGAGCAAGCTTCTACAGCTGCACTACGTTTTGATAACAGTTCAATATTATTTTGATAATAACATATATTTCAATGTTGATGAACTTCATTGTCTTTGTAGCTCTGTTGAAATAAAATAAAAAATTACAATTACAAAATAATTATATCTACAGCCCCTAAACACACAAACACACCGCTTTCATAAATAACACACTTGTTCTGCAATAATATGTTTTATGTTTCCTGTAATTTTTGTTAGGAAAGGACATGCCTGAAAGACACGACATTTTCTCCTTCTCTGAGGGTCAAGAAGAACATCCAAGAGGAACATTAAAAGCTGATGTTATGAGATTTTAAGACCGTACAGGACATTCACTTTGAAACTACTTTTATTGTGAAAACACAGTCAGCTGATCAAATGCAGCTATTTCCACATCTACACTCCATCAGCTGATTATTTATATTTGCCTCACTTTATGAGCTTTACATCACTTGTGCCTTGTACCGCAGAGTTTGCAACATCTCAAATAAATGGGGCCAATCTTCAGTCAGATGTGAATGTGTAATCTAACATTTTCAGTAAGAATAATGGACAAAAGGAGTGCAAATACAAATACAATTTACTGAAATGTGAACCAAAAGTTAATCAAATGTTTTAAATAAAAAGCACATATGGATAGAAGGTGTAAACCTATTAAATGTATAAGTGAACACATTTAGTCAAATAAAGTGACAGACTAGGCCTGTGCAGTTGGTATCAGCTATGCCCGGCATGGGCTCCTCCATCAGGCCTGGTCCTCCTCGCAGAGGAAAGACCCTCAGTCCTCTCCAAACCAACAGACAGGACGTCCATCACACGGAGGTTTCTCCCTGAAGTCTCTGCAGCTCTCTGGACACCACGCTGTCTCAATCCGTCCACACTGAATATGAGAGGGGGAAAATGAAAATAATAAATGCTTTAGACAATAAGAAACATAAAGTTGACTGTTGAATTGCTCAGTTTTTTTAGATTGTCAATATTACTGTATAACTAATATCTCAGGTTAAGAGGCACATTCAAATAAAGATTGGTCTTTAAATACATGTTGTCTTTTGAATTGTTTGTCTAAAGTCAAGGATCTAGAACTGGTACTTAGTTTTAATGATACAGTCTGGTTATTATGCTGTTTGGAGGAGGCCTCACAGGTAAGAGCACTAACTAGCTACCATCACATGTACCTTAGCTTGACTTAAATGTATTAAACGTATAGTTAAGTGATATCAAAATACAAATAACTAATGTCATGCAAACATATTAATATTTGCTTGATTCCAGTGTTGAATTTAGCACAATTGCATACAAATGTTAAGGGCTTGTAAGATTCTGAAGTATTATGCTAAAAACTCAATAGCTTAGATTATTATCGATAGTTATGCTGAATAGTTTCATGTCCGCTTACCTTAGAAACGTAAAATGCCACGGCAAGCTTAGCTTGGTAGCTTCAGCTAGCTCTGGAACTTCCAGCTCGGTGGCAGCAGGTCCCGCCTCGGCTCCGCCTCTTTGCCCTTATTTGGAGCAGGCGGGAGTTGAACTCTGAGGTCACTGTCGAGCCGTTAGTGGCCGACTCCGCCTACTAGGCTTCTAGTAGGGCTTCTCGGCAACTCTGCAGAATCCTATGGGTGACGTCACGGACCCTACGTCCATTTATATATACAGTCTATGGGACGGACATGTTTCTTGAGCCGATTCCGTGTGGACGGAAGACTTTTTTGATATCGACTACGGTTCGTTTTCGTCTCCGTTTCGTCTCCGTGTGGACAGGGCCTTAATCTATATGGCTTGTAGGAATCCAAGCGCATATTTAGCCATTGTTGATTGTTTCAATTATCATCATCATTTGTTTACACCAAAATTAGTCAGTACCGGCAATTGTCAGCTGGATGTGATTCAAATGATTTGGTCCACCTGTGCTGTGCTGCTCTTGTCTGGAAAGAGAGAAATGGTGATCTGGTTCAGGTTCCTTTTCTTGACCGTACGGTTTGTTTTATTTTCTTTATTAAACATCGTGAAACTTTGACTCGGGACGGACTGCTCATTGGGAACGAGTCATAACGATGGGCCAGGTGTCGCCTCTTAAGGGACATATTTTAATGGAAGTTTTGTCGCTACATGGCTGGTAAAAGAAGAAACCCCATTCTCTTCGGTTCGAAACATAATCTCAGCAAATCCGACGACTTCTCAGTTGCAGTGGGTGACATTATTGTCACAAGTAAGAAGGAAATTACATACCTAGGATCCAGTGGCGGCTGGTGGAAAATATTTTTGGTGGGGCTGTTGATATAGTGAGTAAAACAATTTTTTTTGGGAGAAATTACCCCTTAAATTAGGACTTCTGGTGATGTAATGGCGCGTTTCCAGTGCAGCGCGGAGCTCGCTTTAATGCTGCGTTCAGACCGGACGCGATGCGAATATTCGCTTCGCTCTAAACGCTCCTATCGCTTCGCTCTAGTCGCTCGAGTTTCACCGCGGCTGCCAGCTGTGTTTACTCGCATCATTCAAACAAGACGCGTTGGCTCGGGAGCTACAACTACAACAAAATGAACATATTTTACCGTGATTAAATTGTAATACACGTTTCTAAATGATGCCGACGTAACAACATACTGATACCGGTTAGTAAAAACCATGAATTAATGCTTTGACAAGTCTGCAGACAGACGGCAGGCGAAAAACCTTTTAGAATGCTTGTTTTCTGAATAGAGCTTGGCTAAGCTAACGTTATATATGCTCCGATCGTCCACACTCACAACAACGGCCTATACAGACATAAATAAACCAGCGACTGTATTCTCCATGACACAGACAGTCTGTGGTTTGTACTTGTTTAACTTTTGTCTAGTTTCTAAACAGATCGTATCTGTCCCCGGCTGTTTGAAGAGCAAGCATGGGAAACAAAAGATAGCATTTACCTGTTTGCATCCAGCTAGCCATGCCTTTCTGGTGTACCAGCTACGTGAGAAGCCTCGTTGATACGTTTTGTCTTTTTCACGAGCTTGCTATGATATATACAAATCGGGTTGGTCCGGTCCAAGGTCTTTAAGTATCAATTTATCTCCCAAACTTCTCCTTTCGAAAGGATTGGAGAGTAGCTCTTGCACGGAATTGGGCGGGGACCGAGGTCCGGCGACTCCACCTGCACACCATTCTCATCCAAATACTGCGTCACCTTGGTCACTCACGAGTCTAAAAAACAACTCACGTCAACGCACGTAAGCAACGTGGGCGCCAACGTGAGCGCCCTCGTGACCAAAATATTTGACGGCGCTGATTGGCTGAAATTATGTTTCGGCGGCACAGTTTACTATTGAGACTTTTGCAACGTGCTGGTTGCTGCTGTTTGGCTCGGGGGCTCCGCCCGGTAATGATAAACTAATGCCATGCCAAGGCCAGGCAGGAAACATGTGACTTATCAGTAACTTTAGACATCGTAACACAATTTTAAACGAGATTTTATTGTAGATTATACATTTTACTGATACCAATTGTATGATATTTACCTTGTTTATTAATAATAAAAATATAAAATATATATTTTTTTAAAATATTTTTTTTAAATTTTATTTATTTTTTAATATATTTTTTTGTATGTGGGAAGAGGTGGGGCGGCGCCCCTAGCGCCCCTATCGGCCGGCCGCCACTGCTAGGATCTATTCTTGAGGCAAACCTCTCCTGTGACAAAATGGCATCTGTTAACTGTGATGGTTATTCTCGTGTCCAGGAAAGAGAAGCTTAAAAAGGAGACTAAATGGAGTCTCTGAGATGTTTTCAAATTGGTACTTTAATTAATAAAAAGCGTGGTGAAGTCACAAACAGGATATTGTCCGACAGAAAAGCAGCTGTCTCTGGCCCTCGCTAGCAGAGAAAAGAGGCCGAACCGCTCAGGTGCTGCTCTTATATAGCTTCTGCAGGCTCCTCCCTGCGGGCCGGCCCTCCACATCTTAATGTCCGTTGTTACGTTTAAACAGAGGATTCAGGCATTGTACATTCAATACATACTTAAACACGCCTCTTCTCCTCATATTGTCTTTCATCACTTTTCCTTTAACACATTCTAAACGTTGTAGTTAATATTCTAAAAAATACAGAAAATACTTCACGGCTGGTTTGGTTTCTGGTCATTCCGGATGTTGTCACATCTTACCCACGTCTGTAAACAATAACTTTATTCAAATAAACTATACCTTCATTTAATATTCAGCAATAATAATACGTCTATAGTTGCAGTGTTAAAATCAGTAGGTTTCGGTGTGCATCACTCCATGTCATTTCGCTACTAAATTAACCTCTATAAGAAATGGTAAACTAGCCACATGCTAACCGGAGATGAAGGATTTTCAGAATAAAAGCTTAACTGGTTGTGCACAATAATTTTCTGGTTTTTCAGTATAAAACAGCATTTAAACTGAAGGTACATTTAAGGTACATTATGCCATCAAAACATTGATTTTAATTTCTAACACATCCAATGTAATAAAAAAAGTCAATCAAAGAACTAGATTCCTATACCGGATCTCCTCTCTGGTAAACAAAAACACCCTGAAAACTCTGGCAGGAGCACTCATTCAAGGGTACTATGACTATGCTTGCACGTCATGGTACCATAGCACCTCCAAGGCGCTAAAAATAAAACTTCAAACATGGCAAAATAAACTGGTCAGACTACTGCTTGACCTTTCATCTAGAACCCACCTCACCTCTGCCCACTTTGAAAACCTAGGATGGCTTAGAGTAGACGACAGAGTACAGCTACTTGCAATGGGCCTGGTCTACAAGATCCACTACACCTCTATGGTACCCATGTACATGTCAAAATCCTTCCCAAAGGTCAAGGAATACCATGATCATAACACCAGAGGGAGCTCCACAAATCATGTGAAACCCAGATTTGGCACAAAAAAGGGGGAATACACGTTTCGCAATTATGCCACATCAAGGTGGAACGCTCTTCCCACAACTGTAAAGGAAAGTAAAACTATACTTACCTTCAAAACCTCTCTTAAAGAGCACCTTCGGGGGAGAGCATTGCAAAACTGGCCCCGGTAATGGTACAAATCTCAACCTGTCGTTCAATGGACAGCTTCCCCCCCCATCTATGTATATACTCGCATTTTAGACTCTGTTACTAACTGTATATCTGTAGACTTGGTATGTCTTAAATGTCCGGTTAGGATGTATTAGAACGAAATCTAAAATGAAAATTGTAAATAAGCAATCTGTATGTAAAAAACCACCTGTATGTAAATTGTAAATAAGCCATCTGTATGTCAAATATGTCTTATATGTCTTAAATGATATGATGAATTGGAAATGGGGGACCCTGATGTAAACAAGACGAAAGTCTTTCTCTGGTCTGCATCCCCTTAACAATTGTATGTTTTGAGCTGTACTGTACTGTACCCAATATACAAGCTGTTAATAAACTTTTCAATCAATCAATCAATCAAACCTAAAAGCTTAAAATCTACCTCTGTAGTAGTGTCATGCATTGTTATCCGTCAATAACAGTGTGTCTCTCTGTCTTCCTGTTTGTCTCTGCAGCTAAACGAGGAAGCCAGTATAACCAGAGTGGATGAGTACATCGAGCTCCTGTACGAAGGAATCCCAGAGAAGATCCGAGGCTCTGCGCTCATCCTGCAGCTCGCACGCAACCCCGACAACCTGGAGGAGCTGCTTCACAACGGTATGGTGTCTTTCAAACTGCTGCTACTGATGTTTAAAGAGTACTTTAACAGCTACAGATGTGGGACCTTTTGCCCTCCTCAAGCCAATCAAAGGGTGCGTTCTTTATTTTTGATTTATTGCACATCAAAAAGGCACATGTCAAATTCAAGACAATACAATTCACAACAACAGAAAAAACCTAAAGAAATAACCAGATAAAAGTTAATTATAACGAAATTAAATCATCTGAGTGGTCATCAGATCATTTGTACATCCATTTATTTTAGCATACAGTGGCATGAAAAAGTATGTGAACCTTTGGAATCCCTGGTTTTATGCATGAAAGTCACAATTATAGACTTTATAATGATATAACCCTAACCCACAATGTGCTTAACCTCTTAAGCACTGTTGGGCTCCCCCAACGTAATTTACAGTTTTTTACTATGTTCAATCTGAATTTTCTTTCAAATAAAAAACATCTATATTGATTCTGACTTTTCTACATCCAACTCACAGGTTTATCATTACTTTGAAAGATGATAAATGTTTGTGTGATATTACTAATATCACACAAACATTTATCATCTTTCATGACTTTATTGAATATACCCATTACACATTCACAGTGCTGGTGGAACAAGTGAACCTTTGGATTTAATAACTGGTAAATCCTCCTCCTGCAGTCATAACCTCAAACCAACACTTCGGTAGCTCCAGGTCAGTTCTGCACATCGTTCAGAGTTGGACCGTTTTTCTCACAGAACTGCTTCCGCTCAGCCATATCCTCAGGAGGTCTGGTGTGAGCGGCTCCCTTGGGGTCACTCCACAGTTCTCTATTGGGATAATGTCTGGGCTCTGACTGAAACACTCTCAACTATTTCTTTGTACTAAGACATTCTGAATCCTTAAAGAGCCTGTGACACGAGTTTCCCCCATCATCCAAACCCATCAATTTGAGTAAATATTGTCCCCTTGAAAACCGTTACTGAACTGATTTTGGATATTTGTACTTTGATAACCATTAATTTGCCTTTCAATGTTGAACATTTTCTGGATCTTATCGGGGATTCTTCAAGTCCCGCCAAATTATGTATGACGTCATTGCGGGCACAGCGCTCCAGCTGCACCGTTCAGGATCCCAGCATCTGCATGTAAACGCACGATGGTGCACACAGCAGCAAGCTCAGACAGCGATGACAGTTTAATTTTGAACGTGTCTGAGAGCTCATATGAGGCTGAAGGATCGGTTTATGTTGTATCTGTTAGAAGTTTAGGAATTAGGTGCGTCAATATGGGCGATCATACGGTCATGTAGCCAGTGGTGGAATGGGACTAAAAATCATCCCGGGACTCTCGACCGGCCCACTTCAGTACCGCTAGTAAATTGTCAACGGGGGGAGTGGGGGATGATGTGATTTATCCGACCGGCCCACTTCGGTACCGGCCCATCGGGATTTGTCCCGATGGCCAGTCCGCCACTGCACCCAGCCCACGTAAACTGTCAACGGGGGGAGCCTCGCTGCGGGGAAACGGTGGACCTAGTGTCCCGATCGGAGTGGGAATAATAATAATAATAATAATCCGTGCATTTTATCCATTAATTTCCCCAACATTGTGGTAAAAAAAAAAACACACGTTTAATCCATGTTGGTGTACTACAACTACAAAAAACATCGGTTTGTTTTCTCATCAGGAAATGCAGACCGGCTCAAACAAACGATTTTTAATCATCATTCTCACGATCATTTAATCTATCATATGTTCGCCGAATTGACATGAAAGCACTAATAAATGTAGTTTCATCCACTTGAGTTTACAACTACAAAAATAATCGATTTGTTTTTATATCACATCCTACGGGAGGAAATTCAGCAGCTCTCACTTCCGATTTTTAATCCTAATTTAATCATCATCTTCACCACGATCATTTATGTTTATGTTCACCGAATTGACATGAAAGCACTGACAAATATGAATATACTGTAGTCAACTTCATTAAAACGTTATTAACGTGCCTAAACTCAGTAATTCACAATTTCTACGCATGACAACACACTTTGTCCGTGTTTGGCTCTCTCGCCGCACAGTGAAGCGTTCCCGCATTGACGTCACTTCCGGCTTCCCCCAAAACTTAAAATGAGTCGAAGGAATTTCCCCGCGATGTTCGAAATTATTGATATTTATCGGAACGGTATCGCACCTTCTTTTTAAAACTGACGGTTCGAGATTACTAGTAGCCCAATATTTCATTACACAACAGTTGTTGGGATGCTGTCACAGGCTCTTTAAGTCTTTGATAGTTAGGGTCATTGTCCTTCTGCACCACGCAACTTCAGTTGATCTTCAGCTAGCAGACAGCCACTCTGACATTATCCTGTAGGATATCTTAATGAATTCTGAAACAGTTTTTCCCTCTGATGATGGCAAGCTGTCCGGCCCACAGGCAGCACAGCCGCCCCAAATCATGACGCTCCCTCCACCGTACTTTACCGATGGGATGATGTTTTGATATTGATATGCGGAGCCGTTTTCATGCCATACAGAGTGATGCGTGTTGTTCCCCTATAGTCAAACCTTGTTTTCATTCATTTACAAAAACATTTACGCAGTATGATTGTGTGTGGTGTTCAGGTTCTCTTTGGCAAACTTCAGGCACACAGTGGTGTGATTCTAAAGAGCAGCGGCTTCCTCTGTAATGTCCTGCCATGGACACCATGCCTGATCAATGTTTTGCGTATAGTAGATTCATGAACTGAGAAGTAACCAGTTCCAATCATACCTAGAATCTAAAGCACTTTTTTACCTCATTGACTATTCTGCATGTCTTTGGATTCATCTTTGCTGGGCGCCAGAAGATCTGAAGATCAGATCGAATTTATTGACCAATTCATGCATGAAACCAGGGAATTCCAAAGGGTTCACATACTTTGTTTTGCCACTGTATACGGTTTTTGAATTTGCAACATTGCAACACATTTTGCAATTTAGAATTTTTTTTAAAGGGTTATTTGATTTAGGTTTGCATCAAATTTGTTATGATTTTTGTTCTAAAATATATTGCCTTAATAAATATGAACAACTTTATATTTTGAAATGTTAGGAGCCAAAATTGTGATTCTTATAAATCATCCAATATTGAAAAGCATCCCAAAGGTTCCTACATAATCTGCAGAGAGAACACCTTTTGATGGTTTCTCACTGAAAGTGATGTAGAACCTTTGATGTGGGAGTCATTACACAGTTAAACTTCTCTAGCTAGTTGGAAGTGGTTCATAGCTGAACTGTACAATTATTATTGTATATATGGGATAATCTGTATGCTTTTAGGTGGCTTTATAATAACACATAAATATGGCCATAAACAATTACAAAAATCTCCAGAAACACAAATATTTTTAAATAAAAACCAAATGGTGCCATATCACCACAGTCTGTGTTCTTACGGGCCGTCCACACTACAGCTTCGACAGCTTCAAAAACTGTTTCCAACGCGTCTGCCCATTCACTTTGAATGGGGTGACGTCACGTTGCCTCGCTTTTCACCAAACTGAATTGTGGGTAGCATAGCGGTCCGTCTCCGGCGTCAGAAGTTGAACAATGTTCAACTTCTGACGCCGGAAACGCCGGAGTAGCCAGCGCCAGCCAATCAAATCCCGTTTCTGAAAATCTGACGGCTCAAGCCCTAGCCAATCAAACCGCGTCTAAGCTGGGAGAGATATCCCGCCGTTCATTTCTATATTTCAAAAAAAGATGGAGGAGAAACTAATTATCGCCGTAGCAAATCACCCGGTTTTGTATGACCAGAACCTCTTCACCTACCGGGATACAAACCGGAAGAACCAGTCATGGAGGGAGGTGGCAGAGACTGGTAGGTTTTCGCCTGTTTGGGGAGTTTATATATATATATTGCTCGCATAAAATCCCCGGGTTTTTTTGCTTTGTATGTCGGGGGCGGGAGATTCATGTGATTGGTTGTTGGTCGCGTTGCTCGCATAAAATCCCCAAGCTTCAGACACGCCCAGCTCCAAGCTTTTTTTGAAGCTGTAGTGTGGACACTCCGTTATACCTGTAAGACTCAGGTTACCTGACGTGTGTGTGTGGTGTGTGTGTGTGTGTGTGTGTGTGGTGGTGTGTGTGTGTGTGTGTGTGTGTGTGTGTGTGTGTGTGTGTGTGTGTGTGTGTGTGTGTGTGTGTGTGTGTGTGTGTGTGTGTGTGTGTGGTGTGTGTGTGTGTGTGTGTGTGTGTGTGTGTGTGTGTGTGTGTGTGTGTGTGTGTGTGTGTGTGTGTGTGTGTGTGTTGTGTGTGTGTGTGTGTGTGTGTGTGTGTGTGTGTGTGTGTGTGTGTGTGTGTGTGTGTGTGTGTGTGTGTGTGTGTGTGTGTGTGTGTGTGTGTGTAGAGGCAGCCCTGGGAGCTCTGGCCAGAGTGTTGAGGGAGGACTGGAAGCAGAGTGTCGAGCTGGCTACCATCATCATCTACATCTTCTTCTGCTTCTCCAGGTAACACACATTCATTTAGTATGTCTTTCTGTTCTGCTTCATCTTTTTACTTAATGTGACTCTTCTCCTCTCCTCCAGTTTCTCCCAGTTTCACGGGGTGGTGAGTCATTATAAAATTGGCGCGTTGTGTATGAGTGTGGTGGAACACGAGCTGAAGCGACACGATGTGTGGCGTGAGGAGCTGCGCAAGAAAAACAAGGCTTATATCCTTTTATCTGCTCTCCTCTGCTTGTTTGATTTTACAGTCTACCCTCCTCATGTATAGATTTTCTGAGTTATTGTGTATGTGTTCCTTTTCCTTAACACTCTTTGTGTACGTGAGTCAGCACCAGAGAACGGCTCTCTAAGAAGAGACCAGGACAAAGCTGTGAGGAAATACCACGGCCTTCTGTCCAAGCAGGAGCAGCTGCTCCGAGGTACACTCAACACAACTCAAATAATATCTTTTTTTACCACACTATCAGAATTTTAAATGTATCCCCGAGGCTATTTGGTTTTGTAAAAAGTTGCTCCATTTTATAATGAATTAATAAAAGATAAATAAAACATTTTATGTAAATAAAATTTTAAGTAAGAATTTGCAATAAAAAAAGATAAATATAATATTTTAAAATTAAATATGTTTGTAGTTGTATGAAATGTTTTTAGTTGAAATGAAACCAAGTAGAGTACAAATCACAGTAGTAATAACACAAGAAATGCTGTTTTGATTTGCTGTGATGGGAATGTTGTATTGATGCATTAGTTCAGAGTAAAGCTTGACTTTACTGTGCGTCGCTGCTATTCATAGCACTAGAGATTAGGGCTGAACGATATACCGTGTCATGGCGATAACCGCGGTATGCGCATGCGCGGTATTCACACCGCAGGGACGTGCGGTTTTATTCATTTAAAAAAAAAAAATGCTAACGCACTTTAGCACATAATTCAAAATAAGGATACCCTTATTACTTATCGAAACTGCACATACAATATATCCGATTAAAGCCGAGACTCCACAGATTATTTAAGTATAGTATCTAAGCGATCCGATCTCGCGACAGGGGAAGCAAACACAGACATCACAACACGTACCTTTTACGGAGCTTTTGCGGGAGATCGTCTCACCGTAGCTGTCAATCTGATCAAAAGACGTGTTCAATGGCATTAAAACGAGAAAGAAAAAACGCGGCTGAATCGGTTGATCCATAGGTTGATAATGTATCTGTGGCTTTGAAGCAATTGTTTATAATCCATAATTCCATTTTTATGTAAAAATCGGAGCACAAAAGTTAGCTGCTAATGGTAGCTACCAGAGTGTATGCAGCTTCCGGTTTTGGCTACGCGTCACTCTCACTCCTTATTTGTTCATGTGTTGGTGTGTGTGTAGAACTTCCCCTGCATGCACAGCAAACCACCAATCACAATCATTCTTGATCAGATCACAGCAGGCCCCGCCCCGCTAGTTTGCAGACCATCAAAAACACTGGTAAAAAATGAGCGAGGCACAGGAGGATAATACCGGAGAGAATGAAGATTTACTTCCAAGAAGAAAAGCAACATCTGTCATCTGGAACTATTTTGGCCTATGGATTAACCGATTCAGCCGCGTTTTTTCTTTCTCGTTTTAATGCCATTGAACACGTCTTTTGATCAGATTGACAGCTACGGTGAGACATCTCCCCTAGAAGCTACGTAAAGGTACGTGTTGTGATGTCTGTGTTTGCTTCCCCTGTCGCGAGTCCGGATCACTCAGTGATGATACTATATACCTAAATAATCTGTGGAACCTCAGCTTTAATCGGATATCTTGTATGTGCAGCTACGATAAGTAATAATAAGGGTACTTTTATCTTGAGTTCTGTGCCAAAGTGCGTTAGCATTTTTCGCTCAGGGGTCATTTAGATGCTTCTTATGAGACTTGTGTTTTGTTTTGGTAAAAATGGTTTGTATCGTCAGTTAGCTGAGATTATTTCCGTTAATCTGGTATAACACATTAATAGGTTCTTAAATATTACGATCCCCTGAGACACTGTCGTGAAAAAAAAAGTAAAGTACCCGCCGGGACTTTGGGGTTTAACAGGTTAAAAAAAACGCAATATATACCGCAGGGGGGGAAAAAATCGCGATGTCAGTTTTTTTCAATACCGTGCAGCCCTACTAGAGATAGAGATACATTTCTCTCTGTCCCTTTGCCCTTCTCCCAGTGTCTCTTTACCTGCTGTTGAACCTTGCTGAGGACACGAGGACGGAGCTGAAGATGAGGAATAAAAACATTGTCGGTCTGCTCGTCAAAGTTCTGGAGCGGGATGACGAGGAGCTGCTGGTGCTGGTGGTTTCATTCCTCAAAAAACTGTCCATCTTCCTGGAGAACAAGAACGACATGGTGAGTAAAGGAGAAGTGCTCAAGAGTTCCTCCTGTCAGACTACATCGATGCAGCTGAATGGTCTGCATTAAGATGTTTTTACAGTCTTTGATACCCCTCAAATAACTTTTACATACAAAAGTCAGGATTCACCCATTCACACACATTCACACACATTCACACAGAGGCAGAGGCTGCCATACAAGACACCTGCTTAGAGAGAGAACATTCACACTCACACCCTACACCTGTTGGTTCAGGGGCAATTGGGGGTTAAAGGGGCCCTGTTATGACCATCTTCAGGTTCATATCAGTATGTAGTGTCTCTACTGGGACATGTCTCCATGCTTTATTGTTCAAAAAGCTCTTTATTGTTCTCATACTGCCTGTGCTGCAGCACCTCTTTTCACCCTCTGTCTGAAACCAGAGCCCAGTCTGCTCTGATTGGTTAGCTGGTCGCCTCGGTTGTGATTGGTCGACCGCTTAGAGATGTCCCGCCCCATAGCCTATCACGTACAATGTGTTTGAGTGCTAGCCAATAGAAGCGCAAGTGTTACATAGTGATGTCACTATGTCCAGGAAGTAAACAAAGTGTCCAATCCTGGCGTTTCAGGCAGGGGGGGGGCCTCTTTAAATGATTTCCCAAGGTCATATGGACATGTTGACATCAGAACCTGGGGATCATACCACCATCCTTCATATTGGTGGTCATCTACCTCTTGATCCACAGCCTCCCTAACATATTGTCTCATGTGTTTATTTACTGAGACCAAGTAATGTTAAGTCATTGCCAAAGATATTCTGAGCAGTTGTTATGCAGAACCAGATAAGATATTATGTGGGCTGTGATGACAGAGACCCTCTCATTCAGATACTATGTTTGTGTTTTGCAGGCTGAAGTGGATACTGTAGAACGATTGGCTCGTCTGGTTCCCTGTGACCATGACGACCTGTTGAACCTGACCCTGCGTCTGCTGCTCAACCTCTCCTTTGACTCTGGACTCAGAGCCAAGATGGTGGAAGTTGGACTGTTACCAAAGCTGACTGCCTTGTTGGGTAAAAGTACACTCTAACATAGTAGCATACATGGTGGTGTTCATTTCTCCAGTTAATTGGCAGTTGTGCTCAACAATGGATTGTTGACTGATGTTTGGGTGTGTTTGTTGTCACACAGGTGATGAGAACAGCCGACAGGTAGCCCTGCGAATCCTGTATCACATCAGCATCGACGACCGCTTCAAGGGCATGTTCGTTTACACTGACTGCATACCTCAGGTACCATGAAAGACTCTTTAACTCCAGGAGTTATTACTGTTAATGTTAACTTAACATTATAGTCTAGTTGCCAGAATGTGAACCCGGCAATGTTGAGTGTACCAAAGTTATATGTTAGAAATGTATAGAATGGTGCCCCAGCATACAGTTTAATAACTGCCGGATTCTATGTTGGGCAATTTGCACAATTAGCATTAGTTATGTTAATTAGCATTACTTAGCATTATAGCCTATGCGAACAATAGCTTTAAAATGGCTTGGCGAATGTGGACAATACTTGGGGTTATTAAGGATACTAAATCTATTCCTGTCATATGTACTCCCTGTGGGCTGATTTTGATGAATTCTGGGTTAATTTTGAAGTTTAAGAGGACTATGGATCATTCGTATTGGACGAATAGCTTGTATTTTTTTAATAGGTTTACTTGTTGTAGGAGCTATATTGTTCATTTTGTATATATCCACATGATCCAATAACAATTCAAATTCAAACCAATATTCATCAAAAACATCACCCGGAGTACAAATATGGCCACCATCTGCTTTAAACTGCCATTGTTGATCCTGAAAATATCTGAAATGGACTCAGCATCCTCAATGTCCCCCAAAACCTCTCCAAAATTGTAGCCAAGCCATTTTTTAACTATTGTCCACATAGGCTATAATGCTAATTCATGCTAATTAACACAACTAATGCTAATTGTGCAAATTGCCCAACATATGCAGGTTAGCATCCGGCAGCTTCTCTAACATAACACTTTGGAGTACTGAATATTCCCGGCTTCATAATAGGACTTTATGAGCTGCAGACAGACTGTTAATACTGGCATTAAAAGTCTTAGAGTCCCAGGTCATATGTGCGTGTCTTTGTTTCCAGCTGATGCAAATGCTGTATGAGCACGGGGAGGAGGACACTGAGGCGGAGCTCCTCTCCATCTGCATCAACCTGGCTGCAAACAAGAGGAACGCTCAGCTCATATGTGAAGGTACATCTATGACCACATACTGGCTCTCTGTCCCTGCAAAGTCCTTCCGACTTCTGACACTTTTTAGTGTACATATTCCATTATGAAAAGGGTCCTGACCTGTCCTATTAATTAAAAATATTTTGTGATATTATAATTATAATACAATATAATTCCGTTTTTCATACAAGAGTGTCTGTTTGTGTCTTACTGTGTGTCTGCAGGAAATGGGTTGAAGATGCTTATGAAGAGGGCTCTGAAGATGAAAGACTGCCTTCTGATGAAGATGATCAGAAACATCTCACAACATGACGGAGCCACCAAACCTGTGTTCATAGTGAGTTATTAATACACAACAAAACAAACTACTACCAAGAGCAGAACAATTTGTGACCAAATGTTGTTGTTAGTATTAGCATAAGTATTCTGCTGTGTCTCATTTTGGATACGCCAATAGTACACTGCCATGTCGTGCACTGGGAAAATGATCATCGCTGTTCAAAATCATTACTGACCTACTTAAAGACCTAACCCTAACATTCTGATATCAAAATATGGATAAAGTCTCATTTTTGTATATAGTATAGAGTGGTTGTAAGAGGAACTTAGAGGAGGATTGTATATAACCTTCGGTAGATGACGTCCAGCAGGTTGGCAGGAGTTATTGCGTTGAAGCAAATCAATGAACTTCGATTATGATGATATTATGATCTGTTGATGTGTGCAGCATCATAAATGATTATATCCACCTTAAAGAAAGTCCTGTGAAGTCCAGACCAGGGTTTACATTTCTCAAAACACACACAGCAGCAGTGTCCTTGACCGTAGTGACGACCTCCACAATCACTCGCTGTACCAATCATTACCACCTGCTAAATGAACCCAGGAAATGAGGAAATGAAGGGTGGCTAGAGAGTGGTACCTTCACAACATAACTTAGGTTGCATAGCCATGATGGGGATCCTTTAGTGTAGGACGTGTCCAGTGTTCTACTATCACATAGTTGACCGTTGTGGGAGCACCATCCGAGTAATCACAGCTAGGGATGCATATCGTTGACTTTTTTACGATACCGATACCGATACCACTGAACGATACCGATACTCAACCCATACATATCGTGATACTTTGAAAATGTATCATCCCACAATTACTCCCATGAAGCGCTTTACGATATATAGTTAACATGTCAAATGAATATTAAATTCAATTGTGGGACTTCTTGGACCTTTTAGTAGTGAACAAACAATGAAAAATACATAAAAAATATGAAGAAAACCGATTATGGAATATCTTTTATAACACCCGCCATCAGGTGTGCACATCTTGTCAATGCAAATAGACCATTATATATGGGCTCAGAACAGTCTCATAATACACACATGCACACAAAAGGAGTCACACTTGTATTTCTGGATCCACACTTGTGTTTTTCAATGCACACACAAATGTGTTCCGTTTCATATACATGTAAATAAAATCCAAATACAGAAAAAAGTTTTACATATGTATTTTTGATCCTCACATATTTGTTTTCCGTTTAAATCCCCTGAACCTGCAAACACAAACAGCTTTCTGTGCACGGATCGCTGTGCATTCGTGTGTGGGTTTTTTGAGACTCCCCTGACGCTCAGCCGATTCGTACTTGTAATTTTTTCTATCTATAGCCAATCAGATGTCTCCTCAATTCTAAGCCAATCACATGAGAGCGCCCCCACGAGGGTAGATTTCTTGCGTTCATGACGTAGCGCTTCATGTACGCATTTTGCACAGTCCTGCAGGCGCTAATCTCAGGACACCTCCACTCTCAGTACAGCGCCACTTTCCGAACAGGAAATGCACGCAAATACAAGCCTTTATATTATTAAGGTACAGCGCCACTTTCCAAACCATTGATGAATGCTTGTGTACACAAAAACGGCAGGCAAAACCGTTTTAAATGTGTGTTTCCTGTATGGCGAATACAGCTGCTTTATTTATGTCTGTATGAAGTTGTTGTGAGTGTGGAGGGAGCAGCTACAGGTTAGCTTAGCCTAATCGATCAGTGCACTACGAAGCCAGTGCTAGACAGTGTCCGCCGGTCATTATTTGAGTCTGATGGAGACACGCAGCTCTGATCACCTGAAGCCCCGCCCTCTGTTTAGCGAGCTGACCGGACTGCGCAAAATGCGTACTGTATATGAAGTGTCATGAACGCAAGAAATCATACCCTCGTGGGGGCGCGCTCATGTGATTGGCTTAGAATGAAGGAGACATCTGATTGGCTATAGATAGAAAAAATTACAAGTACGAATCGGCTGACCGTCAGGGGAGTCTCAAAAAACCCACACACGAATGCACAGCGATCCGTGCACAGAAAGCGGTTTGTGTTTGCAGGTGCAGAGGATTTACACGGAAAACAAATATGTGAGGATCAAAAATACATATGTAAAACTTGTTTCTGTAATTGGATTTTATTTACATGTATATGAAACGGAACACATTTGTGTGTGCATTGAAAAACACAAGTGTGGATCCTTTTGCGGATCATGAAATACAAGTGTGAATCCTTCTGTGTGCATGTGTGTATTATGAGACTGTTCTGTGCCCATAGTTATAGCACCGTTATAATTAATGTAGTGCTGTCAAAATTATCGCGTTAACGGCGGTAATTAATTTTTTGAATTAATTGCGTTAAAATATTTAACGCATTTAACGCATGCCACCAGTGGCAGCGCCAGGGTATGGCTGGGGTAGGTTACACCCATACCAAGAAATGGCTTAGCCCCACCATGACAAATGATGTTAAAGTAAGGAAAATAAAGTCTGCCAACTCGCGCGGAGTAAATTGCACAGACAGCAGTTAGTAAGATTGATTTCAGTAGCCACGGTTTTGAAAACTTTTGTCACGTAGTGATCGTCTTCTCAATAGAACATCTTTGATAACGGTGTGGTGTTGTTGCAGGAAGTCCCGACGGAGAATACTTTTGCTGTAGTACAGGGGTGCACATAACTGGTACGCAGGTTATGTGCGTAATCTCTCTGAAATGCGTACCGTCACTTGTGTCACAAAGCGCATTTGCGTACCGACGTACTTGTGAAGCTTTTCCAGAAGGCGGTTAGATCACCGGACGACAGAGTCGGTCTCCCTGTGCACAGACAGGGCTGCTGTTAACGTCGGTCTGTACAACGGAATTGTGCCAAAACTACGCCAACCGGCTGCGGAGGGAGACTCCCCCCCCTTCACTGGAGAACTGCGCTAAAACAGCTGATCGTTCACACTCTGTGGTCACTCCACTAGCCGCCCCCCCCCTCTGTCGACTTTCCTGAAGTACTCCCTCTTTGATAGAAATCAACACGTAATGAATTAAGACCCCACGGTTTGATGATTGATAGGTGTGCGGGTTGTCTTTCATTTTGACACGCAGAATTTTTTTATAATAAACATAGATACTGTATGTTAAATGGATATATCCGCCTTCTTTCATTTATCTTTCCATTCCCACAACAATATACATAAATAAATTGCATATTTTGGACATAGTTCGAATGGTGATTAATCATGATTAATTAATTTTTAAGCTGTGATTAATCTGATTAAAATTTGTAATCGTTTGACAGCCCTAAATTAATGTTAAACCTGAGATTCGACTAGAGAACAAATAAATAATAGAATAAAGGTCATGAGATCTCGGCATTGCACAAACAAACAAATCTCATCTTTAAAATCAACATTTGCCTTGACTGGTGAGAGAAAACAAATCCCATCACAGTTCATTTGTGGGACTTTTACCTTTCTAGTATTGAACATGAAGAAAAACGATTATGCAATCTAATTTATAACATCCGCCATCACGGGCCACGGACTCACTTTTAAAATTAATTAAAAAAAATATATATATATATATATATTTTTTTTAAAGTATCGAAACCGGATCTGATTTCGGTACGGTATACCGTAGCCACCAGTAACCGGTAATACCGGATACCGGTATGCATCCCTAATCACAACGCATTCTGCATACAAAGAAAACACAGCATAGGCTGCACCGTTAGAGGTAGTATTCCAGCAGTACAGGCGGTCAGCTATCTGAATGAAGGGCTTGCTCTGTCTCAGGACTATGTTGGTGACCTGGCAGCGGAGATCCGGGCGGAGGAAGAGGAGGAGTGGGTTCTGGAGTGTCTGGGGACTCTGGCTAATCTCACCATCCCTGACCTGGACTGGGAGCTGGTGCTGAAGGAGTACAACCTGGTCCCCTACCTTAAAGACCGCCTCAAACCAGGTTTCATTATAGCTGATACAGCCACACATTACTAAAGATGTGTTTCCATTGACATATACAGTAATGCACATGAATGTAGCATATGCAGTAAGCAGAAAAGACTCAAACTAATGGGAGGAATGTATCATTTTTTGCCTGCCGCATATTTATATTATTGCAAGTTATTGTTTTATTGGTGTTTACTTGAAGTTTATTAACAGAATATTCAGTAACATTCATTACCTCAGACATATTGTTTTCACTGCTATTAACTACATTTTATGGATCCTTGCAATAAAAGTCTTATTATTATAATTCTTATTAGCAGTTTGAAAGCGTATATAATCCAACACATCAGTATTACATTATTATTATTATTATAGTATTTTAAACTTCAAAATCCAGAGTCCATTTCTACTAAAACAACAGGGAGAACCAGTGTTCACTAAAGTGTCATCTTGTTTGTGTCTGTGTGTGTTAAGCCTCAGCAGAGGATGACCTCATCCTGGAGGTGGTGATAATGATCGGAACAGTTTCCATGGACGACGCCTGTGCCGCCATGTTGGCAAAATCTGGCATTATCCCTGCGCTGATCGAGCTGCTCAATGGTAACACACACAGCTGTGGTTTTTAACCGATGTTGTGTTTCAGATCCGGTCAGTCCACTCAGACTTTTACACGTTTCACTGAGATCTTTAAAGACCATCACTTTTCTGTTGAAATACCTCATGACATTAATGTCAAAGAACAGGCTGCTCATTGCTCACTATATTTTAAAAGTAAAACAAATAATCCAAATGATAATCTTACTGGCATGTGAAAAGAGACGTTACACCTGATGACATTAGCACTTTGCTAACCTGCTTTCCATATGTTCTTGTGTTTTTGAATGCAGCCCAGCAGGAGGATGATGAGTTTGTGTGTCAGATTGTCTACGTCTTCTATCAGATGGTGTTTCACCAAGCTACCCGTGATGTCATCATCAAAGACACCCGTATCCTTCCCACAGTGCACTCTGTTCAGCCTACATGTAAAGATGAATGAGGAGACTCTCTCGGTTCACACTGTGAAATCTCAACACACAAGAAACTCTTTCCTTAACCTTCTCTGTAGAGGCTCCAGCCTACCTGATCGACCTGATGCACGACAAGAACGCTGAGATCAGGAAAGTGTGTGACAACACCCTGGATATCATCGCTGTAAGTCAAACACACACAGCAACAAATGGAAAAAGACGTTTCTTTAAATTTGTCTGTAGGTTGTACTTTCTTTACCTTTTTCTATGTCCTCCAGGAGTACGATGAGGAGTGGGGCAGAAAGATTCAGTCAGAGAAGTTCCGTTTCCATAACAACCAGTGGTTGGAGATGGTCGAGAGTCGCCAAGCTGACGAGTCTGAACCGTATCTGTATGATAACGACAACGACAGGACGGATCTGTTCTATAGCGCAGGTACACACACACACACGCACACACACACACACACACACACACACACACACACACACACACACACACACACACACACACACACACACACACACACACACACACACACACACACACACACACACACACACACACACACAGACTTGCAAGTGAAGGCTGGTCATTTTGTCTTCTCTGTTTTTTTCAGTTCACCAAGACACCTTCATATTGTGCCATTAACAGATGATTGCAAAAATGTTCAATACATTTGTTTTTGAGCATACAGTAGTAAAGGGGAAAAATGATTTATTTTTCAACCTGACAAAAAGCCACTGAATGAAAAATAAATGGATTGTTACTGATGCAAATCTCCTGCTAACTTTACCGGCATTCTGCCTGAGGGCTCCCTCAACTGAAGGTGATGTTTCTTTTGGGGAGTATTGCAGAATAAGACAAATCTGTGGAAAGCACACCATTATGATAATGACATGTTTAGTTCAGCAGGATCATCTCTACATATGAACTGAACTTTAATCATTTTAGAGGCGTTACTCCAGAAGTAAAAAGCTAACGCTAGGCTATAAAGGAAATAGATCACAGTCCCATGGCTGCGTATCACCACCGCTAAGCTAAAGGCGGTTACTTTAGTTCCTCACTGACTTCATCAGCACAGACAGCAGCTGACTCACTCGAGGAGCAGCAGCATGAGTACAGGAATCACATTTGAAGGAATTCACCAACACTTGTGTTTGCTTTGACATTCTTTCTCATGAGACCGCTGAGTAGAAGCTGCAGTGAGTAGTGTCAAGAGCCTGTGAAGAAACGTTTTGTTTCTGAAAGTAATGTGCCTGTGTGTGTCTTCAGATGGAATAACTCCAGCAGACGGTTCAGTCAGCCCAGACTTCTTCAATGACCTACAGCCTCAAAATGGAGACATGCACCATACAGCGTGAGTGAACATACTCCAGAAAGCTACTTCCTCTTGTGTTGATGTATGCACCATTATTCACAAGCAAATTCATTGTATGTGTAAACCTGCTTGACAATGAACCTGGTTCTGATTTTAACACACACAGATAAATATGCAAACAGTAGGTTAGTTCATCCAAAGAAAGTTTGGCACACGCTTGAATTTAGCTACTTTATATTACTGTAACTATTTATCTGTTCTTTTTATGTTACATTTTCTATCCTCTTTCCAGAGATGGCAGCGATGTGTTTGACCAGACCAGCTCCTCTCCTGGTCGTCCAGCTACTGCGTACGGCTTCAGACCTGATGAACAACCCTTCTATCAGTACTCATAGACAACACACACACACACACACACACACACACACACACACACACACACACACACACACACACACACACACACACACACACACACACACACACACACACACACACACACACACACACACACACACACACACACACACACACACACACACACACAGGGCATCCTGTCATCCCCGTACACCCCCTGCATGTCCACTCTCACATCTTTAGATTGCATTTCACTGCTAGAATCCCTCAGTACTGAAGGCATCACGTGGGGTAGCCACTGCAACACTGGTCATAGTGCAGATGATGCAGTCTCCTTCCATACAGCATTTCATTCACTCAGCATTATGAAACATACACGTCTTCCTTACTGAGTACAGCTTTCTTCTAGTGTCTTCCCAGTGGCTCAGCAAATCAGTTAAAGAATGTGAACACTTAGAGGGAAACTTCATTATATTTCAACCTGGACCCTGTAATCCTATTAGGACGTTCTGGCTCTGATAGTTGCTATAAGTGTGTGACAACATGTTGGAACTAGTCCAGGTTGAAAAACATGTAACTATCCTTTCAAATGTTTTAAATATCTTGATATATTTTGCATGTTTTCTCATGTAATATATATATATGCTTTGCCTCTGCAAATCCCCTAAAAAACAGTCAAAGTTTAAACTCCATTTCTGAACAGTTTTAGATCCACTTCGACTCACTATCTATCACTGTGTTATTAACATGCACTACAATGTATACATTGCTTTGTTTTCTCACTGTAAAATGGGAACATTGCTGATCCCTATAACTTAGGGTGCTTTTTCACAGGCAAACCAAACTTATCTTCAGCCCCCTCGGTCATAGTTTAATCTCCCTGCCATTATTCTCAATTTCCCCCAATGTGCTGTATCGGTTAGCGATGTTAAACCATAACAGTATTACATGTATTTAGCAACGAGAAAAGTAGAAACCCTGTCACTTCAGACGAAGTGGATAAGCAATATGTCACTACATGATAACAACTAATGTCATTGACCTGCTACCATAAGCCCCTTATCCTGTCTGGTCCCCTTAAACAACAATGGGGAGGTTTACCTGCAGGAAGTGACGGGTCCTTGAGTCTCTGCCAGCACATGTAGCAGCTGGCACACAGTACAGGGCTCTCTGTTTCTCTGTGTTACTCTTAGTTAGTATAGGAGGAGAGAAAACAAGCCCATGAAATAACTGGCTTTAAAGGCACAATGGGTAGGATATGTTGGTTGCACAAAACATTGAAATAGGCCCCTCCCCTGCAAGCTTTAGGGCCCCAGCACATGTAGCTTCCTCTGGGATGCCTGCCTATGATCTGGCTCCTGGCCGCTACGCTTTTATAGAAGCTAACACCTTAAAAGGTCCCTAACAAAGCTTTATGAAAAAAAACCATGTATTACACTATCCATTAAGGAAACATCCAACTCATTGTGCCTGTAAGTCTATTGGATAGCATGAGAGGAGCCTTGTTTTCCCATTGCAAAAATCATGTCCACAATCCTCAGAGGCCCAGATCTAGCTCACCTAGAAGGTGCCACATTAAAAGCATTTCTATGCTTAATACAACATACATATAGTAGTATGCAAGTTCTGTTGAATGTTCCATACTGACTCTATTTGACAACAAGTCAAAGCTATAAATGCACCATGAACTGTGACTGGAAATGTACATGTAGTTCCCTTGAGCTGACAGAACTAAAGAACAGAGCATATCTGAATGTAGGTCAGAGCAGCATACACTTTGAAGAACACACTGTATAGTGCCATTGACTGACCCACATCTGAGAGGAGTGCAGACTGATACTTTAGAGGCATATTTGCACATATCGTTTATTGTTGATGCATGGTTATATTTTCTTTTTATTAAGTTATTAGTGTTTGTATATAATAGTGTTTTTTATAATTGATCTTATCGCTACCTAACAACACTGTAAACATGGACTATTGTTGGACTATAGAAACTCTCCATCTTATTTTCTGTCATGCTCATAAAAACAAGTCCCACATTTCATAAGACTGTTTCAAATGTCTCAGAATGATTTCCTGCACAGTTCCTTTTGTATTGATATATTTGATGTCTGGCTGACGGCTTTGAATACAAATGGTTTGGTGTATATTTATTAAATCAGCCTTTGCCATGGACACACACGGACATTATTGAAAATGGGATGAAAAAAATTAAATCTTTTCACAATATTTTATCTTTGACAAAACAAAATTAAACCTTTTAAAAGATAAATAACAAAGTAACAAATATTGCCCATTTGACCCTTACTGCAGTTGCAGTTATTACCTTCTCAAACTGTTTCTTTCTTCTTACTTTCTCGTACATACTTAGCCTCAATTGTTTGTGTTTAATAAAGCAACACTGTACCCTGAAATATGCTCTACAAAGCTCACATGTTGTTATCATCACCAATGTGTTCCAGATAACCTTCTTCTTCTTCCCTGGCTTAACCCTTTGTTCTGACTGACACCACATTTCTCTATAACATTACTGTGATGCCTTTTTACACAGCTGTGTAGGATCGTTCATTCTGATTGGTCGATTTATAGTAGGTCACTGCTATGATTAACAGACTGTTACTATGGACACAGTTGTGATCTCTAAACACAACAAGCAGGAACACTGACATCCATTTGTTCTAAATCAGTTTTTGAATCAAACATAAAGTAGCCGAGTTCATTACTGCCATATAAACACCTTCTGGTTGAGCCCCCCCCCCCCCCCCCCCCCCCCCCCATGCAAAAGAATGGCCAGCTTGTGTACATGATGTTGTACATAATAGGTCTGTGTCAGCAAAACAGCAGACTAATCAGTAAGAGCAGCTTCAAAACCAGATTGTTGACAAGTTTGATATCTTTATTGAGGAATCCGTTCAATGATAGCAGAACATCACAAATGTAAACAGCAAAATAGTCTAAATAAGTTGAATCATTATTAAAAAAGTTGTGGAAGTATGTGTCTTCTTAAAAATGTAGTATAAATGTGTATGTAACACTAATAATATGGGTAATAATCTCCTTTGTGCATTTATTCACTTTATTAACCTCTACCATTTAATAAGGGAGCTCCAACAGTCAGTCGTCATGGTTACGGTGTCAGGCTGTATGGCCGCTGTTGGGACGGGGGCTGATGACCGTCTCCACCTCAGTGATCTCAGTAACAAGGTCTCTGATGATCGCCACGCTGTCCAATGGCAGCTCGGCAACACTCTCACACTGTGCTCCCATTGGCTGAGGGCTTTGAAGAACCTCCTCCTCCTCCTCGTTTTCTTTCTCTCCTTCTTTTCCTGCTTGCTCTCCTTCCTCCTCTGCTCTCTCCTG